TGTATTGTACGAGCATTGAAGGATCCAAATACCTTTCTCTTTGATCATCTTCTTGCCTTAAAACCAGTCAAATTTTTGGAAGGGGAACTCATTCACGATGTAAGTAACTTTGGTTTTAGCACTCTACCTGTAGAGTGCTTTGTTTTATTAGTGTCTTTCGAAATCCATTGGGATAGTTATATCTTTGTCAGTAATCCTGAGCTGCCATGTGCTATTTCTTTTAATGTCTTCAGAATTTAAAAAAATTGCATGTGAATGTTTCCTTTCAAAGTTTCAGAAACTCATTTACAAGTCCTGCCCTCACATGAGTTCTGTACAAAATCTGCCTTTCAAGTCTGAGAAAAGGAACTAAGCTCAGTACAGATTGTCCACAGCTATTGGAGACAGAATTTTAGCTCTAGACAGTTTATTCCTGTGTTCAATTACCAGTAGTTTATATCTGTCCAGCCTGTAGGGAGAGAAACTAAGATAAATATTTAAACTGTTCTTCTATTTGTTTTCCATCTTCTAGCTTTTGACAATTTTTGTAAGTGCTAAACTAGCATCCTATGTCAAGTTTTATCAGAACAACAAAGACTTCATTGACTCCCTTGGTAAGTTTTCACATCATTACATTTCTGACTATTTATGTGGCTTAAGATATGGAAGTCACAGAGTGCTTCATTTTGAGCCCATCTATTGAAGCCAAGGAAATGTAATAGGAGTTTGTAAGAATGGATTAGAGTTTGTAGACTGTAATCTCTGCTAGATCATAATTGGACCATCTAACTGTGGTTTGTTCTACTAAACCAAGCTGCTTTATGGGTTTGGAAGAGAACTGTGCTTCTACCCACTGTTTTTTCTCTTAAAGCTTTCAGGAGGGGAGTTTTAGTCCATTCATACTCTGGGCTAGGCTTGAGATCACAACATTATTGAGTAAACCACCAGCTTGTTCTAATTTTTTTTTTATGATGAATAACTTTATATAACAGCAAATCCTTCTGCTGAACAGTGAGCTAAAACATGCAAACTGTGTGTGTGTGTGTGTGTGTGTGTGTGTGTCTGCATGTGCTGATGCATTAGACCTGGCAAGCCACAGTCTGTCCCAGTTAATTTGTTTCATCACATGAAGCAATGTGATGGAATGTTAATGTCAGCACCCTCTTTATTTACACACTGTGGAAAAAAGGAGTAGTAATTAACACTTTGACACTCCCCCGTTGATGTGTAATTGACTGTTTCAAAGGAGCACTGGTTCATAAGCTATTGCATGCATTAAAATTACGTTTTTTATATTCCAGCTTTTTAGGACAGGGGTCAGTGACAATGCAGAAATTGCTCAATGATGCAGATTTTTTTATTACTGCATTAAGGTTTTGACATATTGGTAATGAATAAATGTTTCCATAAAAATACGATTTTTTTTTTATAATTTTGATTTTGAAATGACACTTGAGCATTGGCTGAATGCATTTGAGGAAAGGCATAGTTTTGATAAAACAGAGTTTACTGCAGCCTTTTAACACATGCATTATTTTGTTTAATGGAGTGTGATACAATTTTGAGAATAATTACCCTCCAAGGCTTAAAATGGTGGTACTTTGGGGATTAAAATGATGGAAATATCAGTGAGATTTTTGGTGGATAAAATTAGCAGCAAGTTTTTGGTAGCTTGTAAATATGTATATAGGGTTAGTGTACTTTCTGTCACGTGTACTTGAACATTAGTTGTGCAGACATCGTATGCTTTTTCTCTCTCAGGGGAAAGCAGGTTTTATATTGTAATTATTTTTGTGTATTGAGATGGCTTATCTGTTAGTTATTTGTCCACAGAAGTATTTGCTGAATGTTACACTAACATTTGAATAAATTTATGGAAGATTAACTACAGACATATGTAGCATTAATCGTATCATACACAATAGTCATGATTTCTTTTGCTTTGCCTCCCTGTTTACGTTTCCCTCTGTGAATTCACGGCGTGTGAACTCTAAATATATCTGCGATTCACAGAACCTTAGTAAAATCCTTTAATATCTGTGTAACTGTTTTGAAAGACAGTCTTGTCTTCCACTTGCCTTGATTTCTTACCTGCTTTATATGGTGTACTGAGAAATTCTGTGTGTCTTTGAGCAGTGGACAGGCAGAGACTCGGGGGCAGCACAGATGGTGCTGCTGGGAACTGAGCGGTTCAGCCAAGCCTTTGAAAAACAAGGGCAGTTTGGTAGGCACAACAATCCACTTATTAGACGAGGCATTCAAAAACAATCTGGTCCCGAATTTTTAACCATGCCTTACAGATTTTTTTCTTTTTTTTTTTTAAATTACTTGCCAAGATACCAGGCTTTAAAATAAAGGGTATTTAATGATAGGATTTCAGTGGTGTAGTTGTAACCTTTCCTGGATCAGGACCAGTTACAACTGGCCCACAAAAGCCCTGCAAGCAAAGGCTCCTACAGGTGGCATCAGTTTGTTACAATTTGTTGTTTTATTAATGCTGACAACTTGGGCCAGCCAGTAGCATTATCTGTGTCAACTGAATCGCCCTAACATGGCCACAGTTAATCTGGTATTATCAGCAGTCTTTTTCGGAAAGTTAATCAGCATCTCATTTGCATTTGTTAATTAGGGTTAATGTGTGCTAATTGATTTTTTGATGCTTGTAGAGTTCCATTGAACCCAGTTAGGTATAGTTGCTGGTGCTCCTCGTTCGTATGAATTATGGTGATTTTTGTTGAATCGGTGCCAAACAGGGAACCTGCATCATAATTACAGCTAATTAACACAACATGATGCCCTGCACTAATGTGCTTTCCTGTTAGTGCATGGGTGTTATAAATTCCAAACTTAAATATTTACTGAAGCAATGTGGATGTTTATAAGGTCATTCTGGAACAAAATGAGTGACATTCATTTTAAAGAAACTTCCACAGAGCCTTAGTTGGTTCCTCATGGAACTCAGGATTAAGAAATGCCTTGTTTCATCTCAATGTCTTTTGGCCGACTTAGACTTTTTTCCAAGAAAATGGTCTCTGATTTAGATGTGCAAGCCCTTGGCTCAATTCCTTGTGTTGCCATTCATGCAACATCATGTAAAAGATGTACCCTGACTTGAGTATCTGTTCTGCTGGTTTTGGAGAGCACTTTCCTTTGCCACAGTGGATGCTGTAAGCACATATGGGGCTCGTGATGTTTGCTTTGCTGTGGTACAGACAGTTAATTCAGTACCAAACCACATTCTTCTGGCACCACAATGTTATGTTCCTAAACCATTACTGTGAGAGGTTTATTTTCCAGAAACTACATGAGAGTGAGTGGTGAGGCTGAAGGAAGGTTTTGACGTTACCAGCCACGTACTCTCCATTTGTTGTTGCATTGTTGTTCTTCCAGGTGATGCAACTGAAAAATTCACTTGCATGCTCACCACCTAAAATTCTCTTAAGGTGATGTTTTTACTGCTCAAAAAAACCCCTATGTGCTGAGTCTTGATGAATTCACAACTAAAACAGCTATTTTAGCAAAAGACAGGAAAACGCGGGATTTGATATTTTACCTCAAAAACCCTGTTGATAAGGAAAGGTGGAATATTTATTGATATGAAATCAATTATTGGAAGTTTTATAGTAAAAATAGCATGGAAAGCAAATTATTGATATGAACTATAATTAATTAAACTATCAACACTTTTACTCAGGCTTGTTGCACGAACACAATATGGCAAAAATGAGGCTACTTACTTTCATGGGGATGGCTGTAGAGAACAAAGAAATCTCTTTTGACACAATGCAACAGGAACTTCAGATCGGAGCTGATGATGTCGAAGCGTTCGTTATCGACGGTAAGAGCTGCAGTACCACCCTTCACACACTGCTCGTGCACAACACCTCTTATAGTCTCCTAAGCTAATGTGAAATATTCAGAAAAAATATTAATTTTTCTGTCTTTTTTACACGATAGAGCTGCACAGCTTCGTGCTTAAAGACATGCCTAACTGCTGGGTCTTAAACAGTGTTTTTCTTCTCGGTGACGGGAACCGCATCTCATGTGATTCTTTACAGAACTAATAAATTGTTTGCAGGTTTAATTTGTCATCTGGTTTTGTTTGCTGTCATTAAAACAGGATGTGTTTGTAGGGGAGAGAAGTTCATAAAAACTGTACAGGATATTGCTTTAATAGACTGGCACAAAACAATAGGATTCGTGCATGACCTTCATCTTGTTACATCATTTTGCTTTTCTGCCCTACTAGGCTGTTAAAACCAACAGTAAAACATGTTAAGGGAACTGCCATGTTCTTATGTTTGTATTGATCTAATTTTGAACAGTTTTTTATGAGGTTTAATACCTTTGCACTGTCACGAAAACGTTTCTTAAAACAGCACTGGTTTTTTGCAGCTGTAAAGACAAAGATGGTGTACTGCAAAATAGATCAGACACAGAGGAAAGTTGTTGTCAGGTAAGACTTAATTCTTCTCAGCATTTTGCAGAACTTAGTGTGTTCTAATTATTTCACTTACATTTGTAGAATATTTTAACTAGGAGCCAGGTATTGTTCCTATCAATTGCTGGTAGTTAAATAGTTGCTATTTATCATAATTTTATTAAAGCTCACACTGAATGTGATTAGCTTATTTAATGAAAGAGTCCTACTTTCCAGCACATTTCATTTAATGACCTAATAGTGACAAGAATACTAATGACTGTTGTTGCTTTAAATATTTGGGAAGGCTACAGAATTCTCTTAACTGGTAAAGGGAAGCCTTTTCTGTAGAGAAAATAAAAATTTTCCCATTTGCTTGTGAGAGTGAAGTAATGCTGTAAAAGAATTATGAGGTGTGACATCTTGTAATCATCTTCCAATTTTGTTTTACTTCTCTAGTCACAGCACACATCGGACTTTTGGAAAGCAGCAGTGGCAGCAATTGTATGACACTCTAAACACCTGGAAACAAAATTTGAATCAAGTGAAAAACAGTCTCCTCAGTCTCTCAGACACCTAAGAATTTTTTTTGACGTAGTAATATCAGTATAGAGGAATTTTATTCAAAACTTTGACAATTTGTGAAATGTTTCTAAAAAATGTATGCAATTGGTTTAAACAGGCTCAATATTTTAAATTGCAACACAAAAAGAAAAAGGCAATAAAACTACCATGGGAAAATATCTTCTGTTGATTTTCTTACATAATTAGCAGCAACAAACTGGCAATATTGGTTCTTTTGTTCATGTTTAGGTTTACAGTATGAGGATCTTTCTTTGCAAGAGTCGTGGGAAGGAAGGGAGGGAGGTCCAAAAAATGTAGTGCAAGTAATTGTAAAGTAAGAGAAAATTTCCCTTCCAAGGGAGGAGAAACCCACTACAGTGACCCAGTTAGAAGTGAAGCTTTATGAAGCCAGATCTGCTGCCTTATCTCTGTAATCATACCTGGTGCTTTAGTGTTGAAAGAAACCTTATTGATACAGAATCTACTAGGACAGATATGCTTACATAATTTGGCAGTAAAGGTAAGCAGAAGAGTTTTCTGTTCTTCTGCCACTCAGAACTGCTGGAATTAGTTGTAAGTGTAGAAACCACTGTATTCTGAAACAGTTGAATGTGATCTTGCTTGAAAACTGAGCAGTCTGGCAGAGAAAATGAATTGAACTATTTCAGCCAAAACTTCTGCTCAACAGGAAAAGGGTACAGTTAAGCAGTTGTTTAATTTTACTTAACATATATTAAAACATTAACTTAGGAACTTTTTAACTTTGGGCAAAGCCAATAGTAACTTGAATTTGATTGCAGAAACAGAACTAACATAATTAGTAGGAACTGTATCAATTTTTGAACAAAAGAAATGTTTATATGCTGTATTAAACGTGAAAGTACACATATATACCATATTCTATAGGAATACCTCTACAAATGTGGTTTAGGTAAGTGATCTGGCTATGCCTAAAAGACATGCTTATCTCCTGACACTCATTTTCACTGGCCTTCTTCATATTTTCTTTTTCTTGCTGAATGAAGTATCTCCAAATTCAGGAATTTCTCAGTCTCTATTTGGTTTTGTATAATGGAGTTCTGAAGAGCAGAGCTGTCCTCATCTCTGGGTGCTTTTTCACTTCTTGCTGGAGTTACAGTCACGGGAAAAGACTTCTGCTTCTGCTGTAAAGCAGCAAATCCTTCTTTCACCTGACAGAATACAAAAGTAGCAGTTGATAATCCAGTGAAATTCAGGTGCAAAGTGTTTAGATCATTGAATTTTGTTAAGCACTAAGCAAGCAAGGAAACGTGAACAGGACAATAAATCAGTTGGGAAAAAAAATTAATTTGAAGTGTTTGATTCATATTTAATTTAGAAAACTTGATAATGACAAATACACTTTTATGAACCAAACCTTAACGTAAGACTTAGTACAGGAGTATGATCTAAAAAAGGACAACCTTGTATTAGAATGCAGATTAGCAAAATAAATAGCTTAATTAAAGAGTTTAATGTTGCAATTGACATTTCTATGGCTATGCAAGCATTTGATTAACAAAACCCAAAACCATGAGGTTTATAGTGTTAACTCCCTCTCTGCTTCGCTGTGTAGATTAGAAAGCAAAAATCATTAATGCAAGGTCTGTAATAGGTTGGCTTTTTATGGTAAAGATCTTTTTGTTCTTTTAATAGTTTTAATTACTGTTTGATAGATACTTCATATCTATGCAAATCAAAGACAGATGGCAACACAGTAGGGAAACAAGTTTTTTGCTCAATGAGCAAAAAAACTTGCGTTTGAACGATGAGTTCTCCACTTGCAGTCTGAGACCCTCTGGCTCTCGTGGAGGCCAACACAGCACCAGCCACCTGCTTTATTTTAGCACATGAATTTTATGCTAAAACCTTCCTTCCCTCGGTGCACAAGCATCTCTGAAAGTTTGAAATGTGAACAACAGAATTCATGCAAATTGTTGGCTTGGCCTGTTGCATTTGTAACAGTGTTAGTGCCATGCAGCTGAAGGTACTGATACTTCAGGTCAATAATGACTGTCCATAATGACTCCATTTCCATGAGGAAGCAACTTCTTCATTGGAGCACTAGAATTTTCCTAAGGCCTCAGCAAGAAACGAATCATATTTCATTGCAAGCCACTAGTCAAAATCCCTATGGAATACCATGTGGGGCTGAACCTGGTCTGATAATCCAAGGTCATTTTGGTCTTCCACATGTGGAAGTGAAATTTTCTAGTGATATACAGCCATGCCACGTTACTTGGATTTTACTGAAGACAAGTGTTTGGACCTCTTTGGACAAGTAATTGCAGTTAGGTCACACGCACACACACATATAATATATATATATATAATTTTAATATAGTTCTGTGACAGTGGGTTTAGAATAAAAACATAATCTCAGCTGTCAAAACTAAAAGGCCTCAGCATTTTCATAATAAAATAGAAATAAAATGTGTCTTAGTGCCAGCACTAATATGGCAACATATGGGACACGTGTAAAAGCCATTCATTGCTGAACAGTGATTGCACATTGAGGGATTTGTGTTTAAACTGAGCTGAGGATGGTTATTCTTACCTTGGTATTTAGGCAAGGACAGACCAATGTTTAAAACAGTTCTTAATATTTTTACTAGAATTTTGAGTGCACCTGTAGCATTTGTTTATAGGTTTTATCCCTTTTCAGAGTACTGTGCTGTGGTTGAATGAGATTACCCAAACTGTAGAAGGCTTAAGTCTGCTCTAATTACAATCATACATATTAGTCAAAACAAACTGCTCAGCCCATTTTTAATCTCCCAGCAGCTTTTTCATCTCCGTCACGAAAATGATGGATTTGAGGACAGAAGGTACTAGAATGACACCAACAGAGAAGGGAGGGAGTGGCCTGCAATATCCCAGGCTGAGATTTCATAGATTAAGTATTTGGAAAATACTCTGTTCTTGTCCATCTCCACTTTTACTTAGCTGCTGGATAAGGAGCTTTAGTTTGGAGGTGACAAAGCAGACATAACCACAATCAGATAGTGAAATACAGCTTTGCTTCAGCTGTAGGTTATGTAGTGTAGTTCACTCAGTAAAATAAAAGAGACACAGTAAATACCACCACCATGGTGAAAAATCCACCCCCGTGTCATTCACAAATAGAGTCAGACTAGGAAAGGTGAGTAATTTAAAACAGTCTTCCAAATTTTAGGGAATGTGAACGTTGATGGCATTGAGCTTATTGAGCCTTCAGAAGTCAGGCAATGTTGTCACTGAAAACACTGTACACCCTGACCTCAGACCTCAGCCAGAGACAGCCTTAACTACCTGAGAAATAGCTCTAGAACATCTTCTAAAAAGAAAGGTCAACTGCAGCTGTAAATAATTGTATCACTTTTGAATAATATGTTTAGCATTAGGTCAAATTCTCATACAGCAGTTACAGCTGTTCAAGCTCCAGTCTAACACAGATCTGCAAATGCCCTTGCTAGTGCCATCCTGGATGAAGTTGTCTTACAGAGAAACAACAGGCTTCTATTTAATTTTCTGCTTTTACACATTTGTGTAATGTCATCCTACTAGATAGTAAGAAGTAACTAAATAGGACATCCCAGAACTGCAGCATAAGATAAACAGATAGGCTCTAATTCATAGATGTGCTGAATTTTTGTTCTTTTACATATTCTTTTAAATAACATAGTCTTATCAAGTAATAAATGAAACAATGTTTTTATACTTTTGCATTATACTATTTTTTTTTTAGCCCCTACATTTACTGTAGGTGATGATTTTTATTAGGGTCCACAATGAACTACCCTCTTCCTCCCCTCTCAAACAGACTGGTTAGCATCTGTTTGATTCATATGCTGTGACTTTTTCCTGCTGCTTTCTATCAACCTTAATTGTGAAAAATGGTGTCTTGTTGCCCTTCTGATATTATTTTGGAGATTGACTCAGCCTTAAAGTATCCAGATGGGTACAGTTGTACAAATATCTGTGGAATTAGCTCACTGAGGTCTGGTCTGCAATATTTTTAATTGACTTACATGTTCTGTGGGAAAAGAGGAATCATAAAAAGTCTTTGCTGTAGCATTCCATTCTTCACTAGGATCTCCCTGGGGGTCTTGGTGGATATTAGAGGTATTCAAAGTGTTGGTAGCTCTGTTAGAACTGGTAGAACCTGATTGACAAAAAGGAAATGGTAACAACTGCAATTTAGTCTCCAGGCACTAATTGTAAAGTAACTAAACTGGTTTACCTCTGATCTTAAAATATCAAATATTTTTGGTTTAAATCACTGGATCTCTGTTGTAGGCTTTTCTCCTTCATTTTTTTTTCTTTCACATACTTCTGCATCTCCTTTTCTCTAAAGATGTGTTACGTTTCTACTTTGATTAAAAATGTTTCCCGTCATTTTCACATATTAAGCTAATGACAAAATAGTGATTTATAGAAAATGTGTGTATTCTAAATATTCTAAGCGAATACATTTTTTTCAAACACTTATATTAAACTCACCTTCTGATAATTATAGTAAAATACACAAGTACTGCCATCCTTACATGATATTCCAGGGCGACTTGTAATAAAAACAGACATTCTTAACACAAAGTTTTTTAGACAATCAAAAAACATTTTAAAAATTAAGGAGGTTTTTTTGTTAGTGCCTGTATCTAATGTTTCAAGAGGTCAGGCTATAGCCATCTACCAAAGGTAGGAAGGACAGATAAGTAGATTAATCATGGCAAAGTAAAACTGTCCAGTCCTGCAGAGGTTTTATGCACTGTAACAGACTCTGTTGAAAGCAATATCAAGTTCCTTGCAGGATGAAAACACAAGCATACTTTCACAATTCCAGTGCAAACAGGAGCTGTTTTGTCACTACACAGATGCCTGTGATCACTGCATCAATAGTAAAAATCTTTGTTTTGCTATGAAAATACATGTTACTTTGTGGGTATGTAATAGTTCTTGAAGAATACTGTCATTTTATCTGGGCAGGAAAATGGTTATGGGTTTGTTTTCTTCTTCAAGCACTCTCCAGGAAGATCTATCCCATTCCCAGTTCGTTCCTCTGTTTACTGATGAGGAGTGGCTGCTCTCTGGGAACCAGAGTGGTATAAACAGCAAACTGCATTGTGGTAAGGCAGTAAAAGGAATTCCCTCAGATTGGTTTACTCAGCTCGTTCACCAATGCTCTTCACCTCTAGATCTTTCATATGGAAAAATTTAAAAAAATATAGGGATCCACATGGATTCTACTCCAGGTTTGCCTTTTGGGGAAAAGATCTGGAAACAAAACAATACAAAACCCAACCACAATAAATGTTGGGAGCTGCAGTGACTCATAGGTGCCCTGACAGGGAGGTTCTCCAGTCTCCAAAAGAGGTGCAGGATTCGGAGAGGTGAGCAGGCTCAAGTAGGGGCCTATCTAAATTAAGCAGAAAGAGGCACACCTGGGATGCAGACCAAGATCCTCACTAGAATCCAAGAAGTGTGGTCACTAGGCAGCTCACTTGGGAATAAGAGTTAGATTAAAATCCCTACCAACTCCTTGGGATAAACTTTGAGTCACAAGTAACTTCTTGGAATTCCAGTGTTTTGCCTACAGAAAGGTTTCTGACAAGGAAAGGAGGAGGAACACATGGAAGAACTTCAGATAGTGCTGTCTGTTCTTCCAGAAAAGATCCATGCAGAACAGCACATAACTGTGTGTTATTATTCTTTCATTTGATTGGAAGAATAATAACAATCAAAATTCACATTACTACAAGAATTAATGTACCATGTGAGATTGGGGTCCTGCTGCCTTGCTACCACCACTATTGTTTTAGGGACAAAGATACTTCTGAAACTGAGCTTCAAAAAATGGTATATCTGAACACAAATATGCATAGGCAGGACACAAGTACACAAACAACTTTGCCTGCAAAGCTAAATTCATAACACCAGAACAATGTAAAGAAACCAAACTGCTGGTTTTCTGTCTCATTGCCACTGGCTGCAAAAGTAAGGGATGGGAGTCCACCCTTCTCTTGGTTTGTTCAAGGGGCAAAGCTGAAAACACTACACCAACAAAACCTCAAGTAGACACAAACACCCTGTACTATGGATCCTGGTCTTCTGAAAAACATCTAAGCACTCAAGGCTCCAGTTTTGTATAAAATCAGGGGCTTTCTGTTCAAGAGCCCAAAAGACCTGCCTTTTTAAGCTTACAGCAGGCATTAAGAATAGAATCTGCATGCAAGCTCTGTTGTGAGAAAGGAAGGCACCACTTGTACTGTCTTTTGCTCTGTCCAGTTACTGAAGTAGAGGAACATCTGCAAATGCATTGGAGTCAGATTACTGTGGAAATAACAATGATGCTTTTGTTACTTTGCTCAAAGATCGAGTTTAGAAATGGCTCTTTTGGTAAATAAACCTAGGGGTAATCTGGAAGTTAATGTTACTGCAAAACAAACCTAAAACACAGTTTTTCCACATTTCAGTAATAATTTAGAAACACGTGGAATAAAGCTCATATTTACTGTTTTTCATATGCAAAATATTGCTCAACAAATAATAGCCAAGTGCCAACTGTAGGAGATAAAAAACCTCTTTGAGCACTCCTGAAGCTCGGTGTATTTTCCAGAGCTTGAAAGAATATAAAGTCTTTTCACATGTTCAATACACTGATGGTTTGAAGTGTCCATCTGAATTAGAGATGTACAATAAACTAAAAAGTAAACCACCTCTAAACCCCATTCAAAGAAGCATCTGCTGGTTCAAAAGCTACCCTAAATTTTGATGCAAAATGAGAGCACTGAATAAATTCCAAAAGCTGCTCAGTGTTTTTTAGATCCATGCAGAGAACTGATAGAATATGTTCTATATTAGGGTTAGAAATCTCTGTCAAAATTCAGTTTGTCATTGCACTGATGTTCTTTTAGAAAGAGAAATATGAGAAAAAAATTATTTAATCAACTAATTAAACTAACAAAAGCTGGTTAGTTGCATTCATACTATAAACAGAGAAATAGCACCTTTCAAATTTTTTGCCATATAACTAAAATGTCAGGTTTACATTTTTCTACACTGAGATACAGAAATTTCACATTTTCATAATTTTTCTAAGCTTATTCAGTATATGGTTCAAAGCATAAATGCTTATTGTTTTCTCACCTTGTCCTGTTTCTCCTGCGTCCACATTTTCACTGAGATTTTGACACTGTGTTTTTGAAATAACCTTTGTGTTTTCCACCAAGCATGGTAGTTTCAAAAGGGAAGGTTCCTTGGAGGCTGAAGTCCATGTAGCTTGACCTCTCATTTGATTTACTCTTGAACAAGAACCGAGGTCTAAAAAATTGAAGTATAGTGGAGTTTTCTCAGCTTTTTTATCTGAGGTTGAAAGATCAAAGGATGACCTTCCACTTATGTTTACTAAATTTCCAGATGTTCTCATGGGTAAAGAGCATGATTCTTTCAGGTGACCCTCAGCAAACTTCCTTCCTGGAACTGTACTGTTCAGCAAGTCTTTTTTCTCTTTTAACAATGTGTTATTTGTTGAATTATTAATCTCCAGGGAATGTCCACTTTTGATGGAGTGCATCTGAGTATCATCATTAATTTTTTTGCATGGAATTAGTTTATCTGTACCAGCTCTATCTGTTGGGGGTTTTTTATGAGCAATTTCCAGACCATCAGCCTTTACTGGAGGTGTGGTTTCAGCATTGGACGTGCTTGGATTTGTAGCATTCCCTGTTTGTTTAGTAGTGTCCTGTTCGGGCTGCTTGCTGGGCATGTCACCTGCATTTATTCCTCGTTCAGTTTTTGGGGGGCATAAATTGAAAGTAGCTAAGACAGACATATTGTCACTGTGTTCTTTCACAGCGTCATCACCACTTGCATTATCACCATACACAGTTGGTAGATTTTGAGCATCAGTTGCTGGAACTCCACTGCTCCCCAGTGCACCATTTGTGTTTATGTTCCTGGCATCATTTCTGTCTTCAGCATCTGCATGTATCTGTTTAAGAGGAAGTTTATGGAAACCACTCCAATTTAAGTTTTTTTCTGTTCTATGTAATCTGTTGCCCACATAATTGTCACTGGTCAGCAAGCTACATTTTTGGTATTCTGTTTGAGAACTTTCTTTAGTGTAAGGCAGGATGCCAAAACTTAACTCCTTGGCTTGATGGTCACCTGTACTTCTCTCACACAGAGAGTTCTTCTCAGTGCAAAGAACCACTTCAGGCTCAGGACTGAAAGCTTCAGGTGTAAGGACACTTTTGCTGTGTTGTATGGTGTCTGATTTTGTGTCTGCCTTAGCAGAAGTTGATTCAGCTGTAGCATTGCACAGTTCTTGCTTGCTGGAGTTGGTCTCCTGATTCCCATTTTTCTTGTCAGCACCTACAGGCTCAGTACTGTCTAAAAAGGCCTTTCTTTGCGTGTGGCCTCCTGCCAATGGCTCAGTGCTGGCCTGTGGCTTTTGTTCTAAATTTGTGTTGTTTTCATCCAGTAACATTCTCTGTGTTGCTCCTGGATTTTCTGCCTCTTTGCTCCCAGTGACATGCATTTCCGAGCTCTGTCCTTGGGTAATTAAATCAGTATCTGTGCAGAGGGTATTCCTGGGAGAAGCCTCCCTTTGCTTTTCTTCACAAGCACTAGCAACATTAATTTCATCCTTAGAACTGTTTTCAAGAACTTGTAAATCTGTAGGGTTGGTAAATGATAACCCAGAGGTTATATAATGCTTTATTTTTATAGTTTATAATTTCCAAAGAGATGGACTCAAGATTAATATTGATACTGATTTTTCTTATCTTATATTACACATACAAGCCTAACAAAAAGTTACTGAAGATAAGTATTGCACTATGGTAGCTTGCAAAATACTTATAAACTGATAAAACAGAAAATATATTAACGTTCTGTATATTTTAGATATGGCTTATAGTTGAAATAGTTCTCAACTGGTATCTGTCAGCCTTATTATTGAAAGGGGTCTTCATAATGAAATTATAACATTATTTCATAATAATGTGAGTCTATGTAAAGTTTAAGCCACTCATTACTACTGCATCTGTATTTGTCTTTATTTTTGAAAGTGGCATTTTTAACTAAATGGAAAACAAAGCCAAAATAGCTGTTTAAGGGACACACCAAAAGCAACATGCTGGGACTTGATAGTAGTGGGCCATTTCAATACCAGAAGGGTGTTTTCCAAAAGATGCTTTGAAGGCTGTGAGCATTGATCTTTTAAACCAGTCACTTTGCAGTTAATAAGCTTTTAAACTTCTGCTTATCTTTGCTACATTTTAGAGACTGAGCATTAGAGACTAAGTGCATTTCCTTTAAGTGGCTTCAAAAAATTACTTACTGGAGTTACAAAGTGCTTTGTACAGATTGTGATAGGTATTGTTATATTATCCACATGAGCAGACCTTCCCTGCCCTAGGCAGCACAACCACTCTCAGCCTTTTTCATTGTCTTATGGGAAAGGGAAGGTCATTGGTTTTGCTTTCAAACATTTCTATACACCTTACAGTTCTTCCCAAGCCCTGTTCCCTTCTGAACAAAGCACACAGAACATTGCAACAGCTTCAGGGGTTAGAGCCCACTGACCTTCTCAATGCCTCAGGGCAGCCACTGGAAGTACTGGTGAATTTATCATAGATGAGCACTACTCACACCAAGAATTTTCCTGTTGTTAGTACAAAATCACTTAACTCAGGATTTGATCATTCTCATCATGCACTGTACCTGCAAACATTTATCCTTCCTTCAACAATACTACTTATCTCTGCTATCCATGTAAGGTTATTACTTTGTTCTGTCTGTAATTCCTCAGTGTTTGAAGAGTGGTCTCTTGTGGTTTTTACTTCAGTTTCTTCTTCATGTCCACAATTACCATATTTTCTTATTACAGATTGTATGAACTCATTTTCTTTCTGAATAGCCTGTATTTCACTGTCTTTTGATTGTTCTTGACCACTCTAGCATAAGAAGGAACAAATGATTATACGTATTTTAATAATTTACTCCACTCACTGATTAGATCTAAAGTTCAGGACTTTGACTTAAAATTAATTTTACAATTCTGCTGGAAAACAAAGACCACTCACCTGAAGTATAAAAAGTTAATGTTAATAAGAGGGAATAAAAAAGCAGACTAATACCCTAGAAGAGTAGGAAAGAAATTAGGTCCTGCTATTACAGTCCACAAAGTTACAAAGACTGACAGAATTTCTCAGTGGAAGGAATTTGTGTTGTACACATGCTGACTGGATCACTCCCTCTCTCTGGTGGCCAAATCAGTGACCTGCTCAGTAATTCCATGCAGGAAAAGCCTGCAGGATTGCTGTTGACACCCAACACATGTGCATACACACACCTATTAACACCATTTTTTTTTAACAAACCACCTAGGACTTTTAACTTAATTTCACAAGCAAATAAGGCTCATGAATTTGTAATCCCTGTAATGCAGTTCCTCATTCCCTCCCAGGTGGCTTTTTAACCCAAATTTGAGTCAAATTCAACGTGAGTAGAAGCCTGAAGGATGTGTCTACAACACTGTCTAAATCACTGATCCACTACTGCACCTGTATTTGTGTATTTTTGAAAGCTACAGTCAATAAAGCTCTGTGAAAACTAGGAGCTGACTAGTGAAGAAAAAACTTAATAAAATCCCACCAAAATAAAAGGAAAAGGAGATGCATCTTTTATCATCAACTGTCCAGCAGCTGAAGACAGGAGCACGTGCTGGCTCCTGCCCTAAAGACAGGATGTAAAAGTAGGCACATGTGGGAGGGAGCTTAGTCATAAAAGATGTGAGAAAAAGCTGAGGATACTTGGGTGAGTGGAGATGTTGCAGAAGGAAGGCTGGGATGTGGGAGGGGGTTACAAGTTCTGTGCTTGGGCACTGGATGTGTGGGGAGGACAGAGTGTATTGCAAAATGGAGGGAGGCACGTGGACAGCACTGGTAAAAATGGGGCTACTGCAGTGGTGGCAGAGTAGGTGATGCAGAACACAAATCTGCAAGAAACAGCTTTATAGAAGTCACAGAAACATCTTGATCCTTCAAATTGAAGTTTCAGTTGAAATTTCTTCCTCTTTTTCTCCTCTTTTTATTATTAGCTTCCCTGTCATTCTGATTTGGAAATTGTATGTACTAAATCTTTTTGTTTTCTAAGTTTTTTTTCTTTGCTCTGTATAGCCTTGGCACCACATTTTCAAGCTTTCTGAACACACATACTAGAAATTTCCTTTTTATTTCAGGAGAGCTGTAACTCTTTTATAATCTTTTGCTTCTAGGAGCTGTTTCCTTAGACAGAAACACCAAACACCACAGTATAACTCTTTTATACAGTTATAAAACAGCTACTGCAGTGGATCTTACCATGTTTGTTGGCACGGGCTGAACTGCTGAATGCATCTGAAATAAAAAGGATAAAGAAAGGCATAAAGGTTACGATTCCTTTCCAGATTTTCAGATGGGTTGAATAAACCTACTCTTCAATAACTTCAAATGACTGCTCAGCCCTTCAAAAACAGGTCCAAGATGCATAAACTAAAATACCTAAATATCAAAACTATTAAACCTGGATTTTAACTTTTTGCCTGTGATTTAGTAAAATCTAAATAAGTAACATACATATACCTAAGATGACCTTTCCCTCAACAGATTATTTCATACTAGGAAATTCAAAAGCTGCTCAAAACCAGATCCCTCTCTACATATACACACAAAAGAATTACAGCAACCCATTAGTAGGTGTAGCCCTATTCTCTGTTGGTGCACAGCTGTATTACAAATCATATTAAATTAAATGTTAAGCACGGTAAGGTTAAACTAAATTGCAATCCAAGTCTGGAATGAGGTCTGATACTGTATCTTTCTTTTAAGAAGGCCCTTTGCTTAATTACTATTCCAGAGGTGATCGATATGAAGAAGTTTACGTACATTCTAAGTTTCATGCCCCACAAATAATTGCAGGGATTTCAGGTTGCACTAGGTGTAAAAATAAATATATGCATATTTCCTTACTACACTTGGAACCACAGTCAAGATCTAAATTGCAGCCAACCCCTTTCCCTTTTATGTTTCACTACACACTGACTCATTACTGATACAAGGGAATCCCACAAATCAGTACAATCAATATGATCTGCTGCAGCTCCTGTAGTTTCTTGGCAGTGTCCCACTGGAGATTTGACTCAGTCCAGCCTGCCTAGCTTTGGAAATCTAGTGATTGTACAACACAAAGTGGTGTGGCAATTTGCCATAAGATAGTGTAAGATGTATACTCAGAAGACATCTCAGACTTTCTTCCATTTATGAGCATAGCTTTAAGCTTTTCTGCTTTCAAACCCACAGTGCTTATCATGAACGACTCATTGCATTGACTCTGCAGAATCAATTCCTAAACAGAATTGATATTTTGTTTTCATTCAAGGAATCAATGATTTTTAAAAGTTACACCTTTTGCATTATACCACATAGAGTTCATACAGCTTTGGCACAATGAGTAAGTCTAACTTCCCTTGCATTATTAAGCACAAAGCAGCAGATGTGCTTCTGTGTGTGCTTGAGTATGAGCTATAAACATACATTGTGAAGAAATTTATTTTAAGTTCTTCCAAATTCTAAAATACTTTTGCAGTTTGTAATTTTATTAACAATTAATAGACTAATTCTAAAAAAAAAAATAATCTGTCTTTTCAGTCCTAGTATCTCCCTATTTTCCTCAATACTGAAAGCAAAATTGTATACATGAAAAATGAGTTTTCTCTTCTTTGAAGGGTAAGTCATTATTTGGATGTAAAAGTAAATGAAAAAAAGGATATAACCAATACTCAACAGAACAACAGAATACACTCATTGCACAGGGAAAGTTTCTTATGGCTTCTGACTCTTCCCATTTTTTTCAATTTTATAAAAGGCTGGAATACAAATCTGCAATCCAGTTTAATCATGGGATAACACAGAGCTGCAGGGCTCTTCCTTTTGTCCCAAAAGACCATCTTCATGTGCTTAACCACTTGCTGACTTCTCATATGTGCTCTGAATTCAGAGCTGAACATGGACTTGGTTCCCCCCGCAATGCAAGCTCAATTCTAGTCGAACCTGCACCACATAAAACAGTCTTTCACCTCCTATATTCATCACCTGTTGAGTTTGCTGTGCCTTTTAAAGGCTCTAAGTGACATAAAGGTTGGAGTTGTTAAACTAAAACTAGAACTTCTATAACCTGTATATTGATTAAAAAGAATCTTCTGATTTGAGAAACATGCATGCAAAAATATGTCTGTGAAATAGGATTTAGTGAAGACGGGTTGTTTAAGATAACTGCTAACTGTTATATATAAATTTATTAATGAAGTAATATCTCAGGTTTCTATGATATAAGCACCCCTCTGGATGAAAGGGGAACATTCTCTGGGTACAGTAAATTTTAATAGTATTTTGGATCACTGATAAATATCACAGATAAATTTTTAGGTTTACCAATGTCAAAGGAAGATCAGTGGACATGACAGACAAGATCAGAAAAACTGTCATATCTCTTATTCTCTAAAATTTTTAGAAGACATGGATGGTACTGCAGCTGGTAGAGACACAGACAAGATCAGAAAAACTGTCATATCTCTTATTCTCTAAAATTTTTAGAAGACATGGATGGTACTGCAGCTGGTAGAGACACTTACCTGCAGATTTTTGACTTGCTCAGACTGCTGATTTCCCTGAGGAAGATGATAATCTTCAGGATGTCCATGAAGTCCTTTAAGGGAATTCAGCTCATTTTTAATAGTATCTATTTCTCTTCTCATGTTTTCCTCCTATAATAATTGAGAGTACACAGAGCACACAAACACTTTACTGCATGTGCAGATATGTAAACCAGCATTTTACAAGGGTATTGACAGCTCAGAAAATTAAAGTAAATCCTTAAAAGAAAAGTATAGATGCTGAGGAATTTCTTTGCACAAAGTAATTGAGCTCTTTAATTCAAACCAAAATTTTAAGCACGTTTCCATTGCAGATTATACCTTTTATTAATTGAGTTTGGGTTTTTTCCCCACCATTTACTGCAAGTAGCAACACTCAAAATAAGTGAGATTTGTATTTGTAGCTTTCTTCTTTTTTTGGCTCAAAGATAAACATGATTCTCTGCCTACACTGTCAGGAAACTACAACAGCAAATAATTTGCCTGGCACTTTACTTCTGTAAATAGCCTCAAGTATCCAATGCTTCTTCAGTGAATATGTAACAATTAAATTTCTGTATTTAGAACAAGAACTTGTCCAAACCACAAGTTGTAAGAAGGGCAATTTTACAGAAATACCTTCACTTCATTTCCAAAGATCTCCAGAGCAGGGTATAATGTTAACTTTACCAATGCAAAATGCTGCTATACTTTAAGAGACCAAATTTCTAGTTAGCCATAGCAGAAACATGAAAAGGAAAAAAAAAAAATCTTCTAAAGAATAGTTGCAAACATTCCTGAGAAATAAGCAGGGCAGATCCAATGTCTATACATGAAACTATGGTATAAAACTCTCCAAGGAATCAAGGACATCAAATTCTCCCAGGGAACTGAGCATCAGAACAGTTTAGTTATTTTGCAGCCTCATGGTTGCAGTCATCTCCATAGTGGCTGCACTCAAATGAGTTAGCCCTAGACAACAGGATTACAAGGACAACTTTGCATTATTTCCCCACAGCTTCCCTGGAAATCCATCTACCAAAATCAAAACCTTTCTGGCAGAAGGTGCCAAATACATAGAAATAAAAAAGACAGACTATTAAACAAATGCTGCTTAGAGTCTGGTTTCCACACACTAAGCAGATCTTGTCCTATTGAAGAGGTATCAATCTTTCCTACTTGTAAACATGCATTTATTATTGCAGACAATTTTTACAGCTATGGTGTTTTGCTAATTGTTTTGGATTAAATAATTACAGAAGTACTCTTTAAAAGTAATGAAGTTGTAGAAAGAATGTCAAATTGAAGACAAATTATTGTTTAGGTGTAGACAGAAGTGAATTCACTGGGAGGACATACAAGACATACACCTTTTCTTATCCCCTTTCACCCTCAGTCCACACTGAAGAATTTCTGTCAAATCAGAACTGCAGGAAGAGCACTGACCTTTTAGAGCACAGAAGTCAACCTAAATCTACCTTTAAAAAATACTCATCTCTAGAAGAATCTGTGTTACTGGAAAAGAAATTGGTTTTATTGTATTATTTCTGCAATATTTTCTTGGCTTTTAGGAATTGCCTGAAATGCTTGATGACTATTTCGAAAACCTCTTAATACTCTAACATTTAATTTAATAAACCTACATCTTTTTTCCAAGTTCTTAGTGCTTTCTCATGCTCATTCTGAAGATTAAGGAACTTTTCTTCATTTTCCTTTGCCTTCTCCCTTTGCAGCTCATTATCTCTTTCAAGGGCCTGCAATAAAATTAATTATCCAAAAAATAATCAATACCACATTAATGAATTTTGATGTGTTTTATGTTGCTTGGACCTTTGCTTCTAACATGCTGGAAGTGCCATACAGATCAGTGATAATGTGCTATCTCAACAATAATTTTCATAAATTAACAGAAAGGTGCTTATAGTTTAGCTAACAGGAAACAGGGGGAGGTTATGAAAAAAGAAATGGCTATAAAAGGGTATAAAAACACTTGCCATTATTCAGTTTCACTGCATAAGTTTTAATGTTCTGAAAAAGTAATATAAAGTCCAGAGATGAGAAATATGAAATGTAGCATATCTAGACCTGCTGTACTTAAAGAAAAAACTACTGTATACTGAAAGAAAAAAAATTATTTTTCTGAACAGTTTTTCTGTCCTAAATTCTTTATTAACCTCTCTTATAAACTGTATAGTCTTTATATTCTAAAACATATCTACTGGAACATGAAGTATACATCTGATTATCCTTTAATTTATTTTTATTAGATCACTGACATAGGAGTGCACTGAAATAACAGTAATACTAAGTTTTATACAATCATAACTGTACTTGCAACATTTTGGGGTTAACTCTTTCAGCTTTCCCATGATAAATCAAAGCAAGCTCCTGCAAACCAACAGTGTCTTCACACGCATTTCAGGTACTCTTGGAATTTTTATCCTATCACATTTTTCTAGCAAACAATATGGAAGATTAAAGACTCACTGCATCCATGACCTACTATATACTTGATAATGTAAACACAACTTTAATGCATGCAGCTATATGGCCAGCTACATATTTATGACTCTGCTGAGCTTCTTTGAAAGTCCACTTGAAAAATGTTAAGTTACAGAGGCAAGACTCCAAAGTAATTCGTTTTTACTAAATCTTTTACCTAAAAATGAGTCTACTTGATTCACTTAGCATCAATTTTAAAATGCCTGCGTTAATTTAGCTACACTATTAATAAAAATATGTCTTACGGATATTAACACTGGGAAAATTCAAACTACCTTGCACTTTTGTACACTTGGGAGAAGTTCTGTGTAAGAACATAATGGACCTTCTTTGATAGATTATACAATGAAAAAGATGAGACAATTCAACAATACATAGTCTGAATAATCACACTGATGTAGCATCTTTCATCCTGTTGTATAAACAAGGAATCCAAGACCTCCTCTCTTGGATAAACCCTGCTCTTAACTCCAGGGATGCTTTTACTTGCATCTCAAATGCAACCTCCTCAAAGATGGAATATTATAGTTATTCACAACACAGCCCTTAGGGCAAAATACCTGAACTGATCATATGTTAAAGCCACTCGTACAGAGAGGGGGGGATACCTGAATTCCTGGCATTCTCAAGTATTCTGTTATCTGGTAAAGAACTGTAACTTGTTTTTCTGAAGTCATAATGGCATTGGCATCCTAGCACTAGGTATGCATAGGCAGAATGAGAAAGGATCCTTTGGAATACGACCTTGCAAGCGTTCTGTCATCTTAAGCCTAAAAATAAATGGTCATTTCTTGTGAGCATAAGAATAAAAATATTTCCACGGGACTGTACAATCATTCCTTTCGGTTTTGGGTTATTCTGAAGAAATTTTTTTGCTCGATGAGCAAGGCCCACAAATTTGACAGGGAAGTGGAACAGAGCACAAGAACAGTACATAAGCTTTAGATCCCATTTATCATATTGAGGCTCTAGACTCAATACAGATGAAATCAATAGTTCCCAAATTGGAATGAAAGTGCATAGACGTTCGAGTTATATATTCAGCTCCCTATTTTTAAAGTTCCATTTGATGTTTTAAAAAAGTGACAATGCAAAATAAGATGCTAACTTTGTCTCATTCCCTGGAATATCCTGGTATTTGTATCAAACTGTCAGCCAAACAAGTAGCTATAAAAAAGCAACGATATTTTATGACCACTGTTTTAACTGAAAGACAGACACTTCTGATAAATCAAAACAATCCCATGAGTTCATCTGGAAGGAACAAGAAGCTGTGACATTCACTTTTAATATCACACTGGATTTACATCATGCTGTTTAAAGGAATCACTGCATTTTATGCATGTATTTATAATGTTTACAAAAAATAGATCTATTAAAACATCTAGCCACTTTTATGTCTCCAGATGTGTTCTCATGAAAGCTTATCACTCATATGTGCTTTTATAAATGTTATGAGTCCTTTAATTCCCATTCTCAAGTGAGAACATCTTGGTTTTGAGAATGCACAGAATCATCTCACAAAACTCAACTGGGATCAAATCTTGGCTGAACTTAAGTGACACAGTGGAGCCTAAGAAGGAATATTTACATCAAACTAACCATCAGACCAAGAGCCTCTTATTAGTTATCCATGTCTTGTAACACCAATTTCATCTAAAGTACTTATGCCTGCAAGAAATTACCTTTGAAGGCTGCACTGAAGCTTTGGTGATTAGCAATGGTTTGTGCTGTAGTTGGAACAGCAGGAAACAGTAATAACTCCCCAATCTAAAATAAACAGACCCAAACCAAAGCAGGGTCTCTAATCAGAATTAGTATAATCACAATCAGATATCAATTTTTGGCCTGAACAGGCTGCACAACAGAGACTTGCACTCAATTCATACCTTAACAAGAAGAAAACAAGCTATACTTGTAGACATTTATGTGCAGTCTTCAAAGGGAAGATTCAGAGATACCATTTACAGTTTTAGCTGGAGCTTTAAAGCACACTATAAACTTTATCTGAGATGGGAAACAATAGCTCAGAAATACTATCAGAAAAAAGCACTTTTAGAATACACCTGCTATTCAGTAATGCTGACACAAAGATTCTAAAGGGCTCCCATAGTATGTAAGTCATCATCAGTAAGGTTATATACCAATTAAATTATCTTGAGCTGCTGGTTTAATTTACAAAGTAATTTCAATGATCTTAAAAAAATAAAAAGCACATTACCTTCTTACTCTAACAGAAAACAGTATTGTATGAACAGCAAGGAATCCAGCTGTTTCACTGGACCCAACATATAAATAAGAGAAGTTACAGAAAATCCTGCTGCTTTAGGCAATTCTACAGCCAAGGGACTGTTCAATTAATCTTTTAATTCCTAGAGAAATTTTAGCTAGTTTCTGATGGAAAACATAGCTCACCTTTAACCTTACTTGTTTAATCAAGATGCAAAAGTGCTACATTTGTGGCACAAGGCAAAATACTTACAACTATTAAAAATCAAAGTAAGACTTATGGGAAGTTAATCTTATTTAAAATTAGCATAGAAGCATTTACTTAGAAACAAAAGTATACATGCACACTGGAAGTTTAATTTGAAATTATCTATCTTAGTTCAAAACCTTGGCCTCACAGGCCAAAGAATGGAATAGCTGTGGTCATGCATGGACAAATACTAGATAATAATTATTAACAGACCAATTAATGTTTGTACCTGAACTCTGCATGGCACATCTGGTGGGAACAGATATGACCTTCATCTTTAGTGCACCGTGGGCCAATCTGCTACTGAAATGTAGAATCCAAACTGTTCTGAGCTACTTTTATGTGCTGAAAGAGGAACTAAGGAGTGCTGGAACTCCACACTCTCCATGTGACCACTTACCACCTCTAGAATAAATATGACACCAGACAGTACAGCAAGAAAGGGCCAAATATATGCTCTTTCTTAGGCCCTCTGCTCTAATAAAACTGAGGGCAAGCACTAGCTATGACTGAAAATCTGAAATTTGAAGTGTTTTCCAGAAATTTATACCAATACGCAAATTACAAGGAAAAAAAAAGTCATAAAATTATTTGATTTCAAAATACTTGAAAGCAAGCCCAAAGCTGGTTTGGGTTTACCCTCCAGAAATGGCTGCTAAGAATGGCAACCATGATTTACTTTTGGGAGAGAAGTAAAAGAGGGAAACCACAGCCTGTGCTTCAAGGTTCATGCTGACAGTTAAGGAGCTGAGGGAGCAATGGAAGTGAGGTCAAAAGTTCTGAAAAGCACACTGATGTCTTTAACAGCCCTGAACTTAAAAATTACAGAAAAGATAGTAGCAGCTTGTCTAATCAAGAAAAATCCGACCTGATATTCCTCTTTCAGTGCATTTAATTCACTTTCCATTCTGGCATTCATTTGGGTTATTCGCTGAAGGAGCTCCTGCACACACTGGAGAGAGCTGAGAATTTCCTTGTTAATACAAACAGAAGAGGATACATTAAGATTTTTGTTTCTAGAGTTTAAACATTAACATATGTCTTTTAGATTATTTTTTGTTTCTGTCAGTGTTTACAAAATCAGGCATATAAAAAAATACTCCAAAATCAGCATTGGGGAAGAGTTTGTAGGGAGAAATCAGAACAATGCCCAGTTTTTCTGGCCTTTTGCCTTGGAGAAGACAACATTATTATGACTTACTATAACTTACTCTTTTTCAGAGAATTTTCTTATAATTAAAATGAAATCCACTAATACTTTAAACACACTTCAGTGCAAATCTAAATAAAATATATCAAATCCAACCCCACTGTGAGTTCAATTCAGGACAGAGTAATCTTATGTTACCATATCAAAGTTGTGAAAAATATGGAAAATCCCATAGAAATTACTCCACTAATGGATTACCCTTATGTGACATTATTCTGTATCTCCTGATGTAAACCCTAATAGATGTGAACTGTCACATATTAGCCTTGCATCATATGGTGCAAGTATATCAGATTTTGCTGTCACTATGTGAACTTTTGTGGTACCTTCATCAAGAAGGTATATTGTTACTTCATGAAGAGTGAATTCTAAAAAAAGAGCCACCTATAATGAGTTGATTAAAGTGCCATGCATTTACAAACCCATGGGTGCTGCTGTTAAGTTTGTTGCAGTTAGTTGAAAACTGAGAGGGGGAGTCATTTTGTATCAAACACTACAGAACACATTCCCAGAGTTTCAAAGACAAGAGTGAATGATCCAGACAAGGCAATCTCTACTCCCTAAAGAACAGTTACAGCAGTTGCTAAAAGAAGACCTGCACAGGAAAAAAACACTGAGTTTCAGACAGAAGCCAGTCTTGAATGTGCTCAGCGGCTTCAAAATACATTGAGAGCAACATATTATTAAAACAAACACTTTCACATACTTGCCAAGTGCTTTCAAATTACTCTATTTTTGGTTCTATTGGATACATAGAAACAGCTGACTACTAAAATAAAATCATTATTTTGAGTGTGCTCATTGTTTTTCATGCATGTATACTCTTATGCAGAAATAAATATTTTTGCACTGAGCCTCACTTAATTTTTGGTTTAATTTTACATCTAGAAAACTGAACTACAGAGCTGTGGAGTGTCTATCTGACAGGTCAGTGGCAGAGCTGGCCATGATTTTTAAATCTAGTACAGTGTTCACCCAACTAGACCAGATTGCTTCTCTGTACACAGTTCAGTGCAAATCAGCTACAATTTAGACAGCATTTCCAGCCTCAGCCCAAGAACCACTGAAGCCAAAGTTTCAGCTGATCCAGATGGTGAATTATTAGTGCTCCATAACACAGAAATCCATGTCTTCTAACCCAAGCTCTTGGAGAAAACACAAAGTGTATCTCTACACTAGAGCCCTCCCCAGACTCATACCAAACTCCTCCATATGTTAAAACTAACCTACCAAACCAACCCCAGCAGTTCACACCGAACAAAACAGAGACACAAAGCAGAGTCCTTCTCTTAGATAACACATATCAAATATGCATGTGAATTATGCTACATGCATCTCCACAGAAATGCTTTTAGTGCATTCAGGGCTGTGAGAGTAATGAGGCCTGAATTTGTCTCTCATTTTTTTCCCCCTGTGTTTATTGGCAAGTGTTTATTTTTTTTAAAAACCAGGGTTTTACAGACTGGAAGAGTGCTGCTGGATGAGCCTCCAGTGTGTACCTCTGTGGGTACACAAGCAAGCTACTGCTTTTGTCCTTCCCTGAGAACAAGAATGAGACACTTCCCTGACATGTTCCCTGTAGACTGAAAACTCTACAACTGCTCAAGAAAAGAAAAAAAAAAACAACCACCCTTTTAAGGCTTAATATTCTGCAAAGCAGTGTATTATGCTGTTATTGCAGGGAACAAAGGTTTTTTTGCTATGTTTGATACTTGACTCCATATACCTTGGTTTGAATACCAGCATTTGCTCTGGAACATACCTGAGTTAGCAATAGAAGAGAGTCTTAACTCTGTTCAGGCAAGTGTAGATGGCATCTTACAGTCAAAATGTTTATGTTCTGTATGAATGGAACATTATTTCCTTTGCATACAATTGACAAATTATTCCAATTTTACCTGGTTTCAACACCAATTTCAACCATTATTATAATAAATAATAAGGTAAATAATGAACTGTTGGCCACCAGAAAGCAGAACAACAAGCATGTTACACCAGCCTTTCTGCTTATCTGTACTGAGCTGACATGGGACAACAGTTTCATGGGAATACCAAGTTTCTCCCATCTGAATTCAAAACCAAAAATTTAAGACTTGAAATGAAATAAAGTGACAAACAATAGACCTTGTTCTGGTAATACTCCTTCTAAAATCTGAGCAGCAAACAACTGAATTTAACTAATTTTTGTAGCTTAGTATAATAATTTAAGAAACTTAAACATGAAATATAGCACTCAGAGCTCTTATTTAAAGTAGCAAAGCTGTATTAACTCACCAGCTTTTCTTCTTTAATGTGAGTGTTTTCTTCTTGAATTTTTTTACTAACTGCAGTCTCCTTAAAAAAAAAAAAAGGAGCATGAAGAACAGTAAAAGGCATCTAAAATTAGTGTCAATTTTCCTTAGTAATATTGTATTAATGTGAAATAGCGAATCATCATGAGGCTATTTAAAGAAATTGAATTATATTGAAATGTCTTCTTACCCATTTTTTTTTAACTATGAAATGATACTGATATTCATAGAATATTTATTTCCCTAGAAAAGGTTGTGCTGGAAATAGTTTCGTTGTATTGTATATGGAGTTAATAGAAAGGAGTCACTGATCTGTACATCAGAGATAACTTCCAGAAAATAATCACCAAAAATTTAACTTGTTCAAATTCCAAAATACCATTCTGATTTTTTGCTGCAGTTCTTGAAACTGTTTTTCCTTCGCTGCAAGATTGATGTTTTCTTCTCCCACCCTGTACTGAGATGTGACCTTGGACCTTATCAAGTCTGTAGTTACTTTCTTCAGTTCCTTAACACAGGAAACACGTATAAATAGTTCATCCAGTATAGGCATTGCAATTCAAAACACAGACAAAGCTTTTAAACTACCCTGAGTTCAGGCTCTACTTTTAAATAATGCGTGGAAACAACAGAACAAGTTAGAGGTACTGAAATTTGTAAGACTGACTTGCTAAACTTTAAACTTATCACAGGTGACTAAAAGTTTATTTTCAGAGGTAAAATGTTATTGTGCTGATTTTACTCTGTTTGAAGTATTTACTTCGTCATTTTGTTATTTTCTCTTCCAAGAAGTAGATCAGAAGTGGACATTGAGTTGGTATTGGTAAAACCTCCTACACTGAGATATATAATAGGAATAAAGTACTATTATAACTACTGTGTATGTTCCTGGGAATGAGGAGGGGAAAAGGAAGAACAGTGATTATCTGGTAAAAACAGGAACTGGCTATAAATTTGAAGGATCTTTGCTTTTCCTGTAACATTAATTACTTACTCTCAGGAGAATGCTAAATTAATTTTATATTAGAGGCTTCTATAACATGATGCCTTTGATTTTATAGTCTTTGTGCTCTTTTAAATATCCTTTTTTTTGGTTTTGGTATCTGTTTCGTAACCAGTTTATTCCAAGCTCCTAGTGCAGCAAATAAACAGCAAATGCTTTGATCTCATTAAATTACAACTTATAGTTCCTGGAGCCATAAATATTGTGCCCTGTTCTCCCCCACCCCTCCCATTCTGGTACAAGGTAGTCTGTTTAATATCTCTCTCTCCTTGAGTGCTCTGACGTTTACTCAGACAAACAGCAGAGGTTATGAATGCTGCTCACAGATAGTATCAAGAATTCTTCATGATGCCATAGTGGTGAACCAAGCATTCAGAATGGCAATAGTTTTATCTAGCAACCAAAGTTTGGTCTGTTTAACTTTTCTTCACAAAACTGGAATTCCAGTTATCACAGACAGAATTATCACACACCAATGGTTTTGACTGTTCTGGACAAAATCATAGAACAGCACAAAAGAAGAAGGAAAGATTATGTTGTAGCTGAAATTCACAAAGTTTTATGGAAAATATAAGTATAGGTACTACTTTTAAATAAATCAATTCTTTTTCTTTTTTTTTTTTTTTGCTAGAGGCTTTATTTTTCATGTATTTTAGCCACAAATAAATCCAAAATTATCTAGTAAGTACTAAGTGCAATTGCAGAATCAATTACAAAACCCAAAGACAGCAACGCTTTAAAATTACGATATTCTGTAAGCTAGTAAGGCTTTTTCCCATTTTTTCCAATAAAAACATGCATTAGTAGCACTGTTTTTACTAGAAGGCTCTGTAAAGAAATGTGCAAGGAGAGTTGCTGCAGTTAAGTGGCAGAAGGTGCGAGCAGTTTTAACTTTGTACAGGTGAAAATGTGCCCTGTGCCAATCTGCACAGAGAACTGGAACAAACGGATAGAGAACACACCTGACAGGCTGTGGCCACACAGGCAGGTGCAAAAGCCTGCCATGGATATGGTACCATGTATTTTCCAAAACTCAGGCTTTACAGTGTGGAGAAAAAAAATCTTACTACTTATTTTGTCATGGGGAAAGAACAAGTCACACGAAGTAAGTCGTGCCCTTGAGGTAGAAAAGATGCCTGGATTTTCTTTGTAATTAGCAGGTGGATGTGTACAATCCATCTGGAACCGAACCCAGATTTGCTAATACAAAGCTGTAGGCAGGAAAAGCCCAAACCAGCTAACAATCAAAACCCAACACAAACTCCCAAAAAACCAACACAAATGAGACCACCAAAAACAATAGCAAAGTTTTCCATAGTGAGTTAAATCGCAACCTGTGTAGCTGTAAAAATAATATAAAATAATTTATACGTACATACTTACATATATTTTCTTAAAATTTCACTCTCAAAGTTTCTGCTTTATTCTAGTAGATTTCTCTTATTATTAAAGTTACTAGTAGTGTTCAAAAACATATAAATTAAATTGACCATGGAACATATTTTATCAGTTTTCGAGGTGTGCCAAGAAAGAATGACAAGGCTTTAAGCCCATTCCTTTGATGTGTTCCCAGAAGCACACGCTGAGGGACGTGGCTTCAAAAACACTTCATGCCAGCCTAAGTCAAGAGTGTCACAAAAACCCTGTCTGCACCTTAAACCTGTTTTCCTATTGCATGTTGATCTAAGCTAAGACTTCCACCTTTTTCTTTTTTTGTCGAATGTAGTTTTGATCAATATGAAATTTTAATTCTACACTATCTCAAGGCTCATAAATACATTTTCCAGATTGCAAAGGACTGGAAAGCAGCCAGGGTAGGCAGATGTAACCACTTCCCAAGACTACGCTGACACCTTATGCAAACTTTAACTGTCCTAAAATTATAACTACATCTTTTTGCTCTCTTCCTAGATTGGTGCTGCTCTTTTGTCATCTTTTGGGTCTTGAGCAGCATTAGTTGGTTTTTTTTAAGCAGCAGAATGAAAGAAACCTTTTTCTTGGCCAGATTTCAATGCAAGCATTTTCACAGTGGTCGAAAAGAATCCTACCACATTGAATATCAAAACGTTCAAATCCAAAAGCAACTGTTACCTAAAAGGAAATTTTGCCACAGTCCATTACATTAAAATTTAGGAACTGGAATTGAAGCTGGCAATGCCAAGAGACAACTACAACCTCTCCAAATAACATTGCTTTCCTGACATCCCAGAAGACTAAAGCTGTGCAGAGTAGACTGCAGCTTAACCCAAGTTTACTGTTGTACATATTTAACACCACCCAGAACATACATGCAATTTCATTATATTGGAGATTAGGGGCTTTTCATCCATAAATGTTGAATTGCATTCACTAACTTCATATTCCCATTAAGAACAAACCTGTGAGATCATCCTGGTCTGAGTCAAAGTAATGGCTGTGATAAGAGCTGACAACCAAATTAAGATTTTAGTACTATGGACAGTCATTCCTGCTCCAGCACTGAGGCTACAGAGGAAAGAAGTTTGAACCCATAAGTTGTCAGAGCTGTTAGAGTTCAGTCAAGTCTCCAAGGCAGATAAAAACAGCTTTAGAAGTTGTCCAAACTTGTGCTGTAGATATCAGGACTTCTTTCAGCTATGTAGCAAGTGAAAATAGCCTGCTAATCCCTTTTCCAAACTCTTCTAAACAGTCCAGTTCAGATTGTTCAGAACAGGATAATCAAACACTAAAAAAACAATAAGAAATTCAGAAATAACAGAAATAAAGGCATTTCCTGGTGAACTGAAGCAGCCAGATTAAGTTTCAGTTGGCCCCTTCTTCTGCTTATCTAACAGTATTTTATTTAAAATTCATCACCCATGACCTTAAGAATCAAGAGTACAGTTGAAAAAAGAGTGGATCAAGCAATATGTTTAATTGTTGGAGTACATAAATCATATCAAGTTTCTCACACCTATGTTACTCACAAATTTCACTACGTAAAATTTCCTTAAACATTTCTATTTTCTTATCTCTCAAATGACTTCCCCTCAGAGAATGCTAAGTAATTCATTAGTCTTGGTTTCTTACCAAAAGCAACAAATCCAATTTACTGTGATGCTTAAATATTTCTAAAATGCCTACATTTTTTATATACAATATATTACAATAAAGATATGCTGCATTTTAGATGAATGTCCCTCCTTTTGTCACATACAAGTTATTTACCCTTCTTTAAAGGAACTGCACAGTCGAAGTGTACCCAATGCAAACAAAGTCGTGCCATTGACACCTTCTGATATTTTTCTGTTGCTCTTCCACCCATCAAATATTTCATATAAATATATATAGCTTTTATATATAACCTATCATTTGAATTATGTAGCTAAATGAACATTTTTGAATTCCACAAAGCCTAACTGTGATTTAGACATTAATCTGAGAATTTTTCCAGTGTTTTGCTTTACTATTATTGTGTTTCTCAGTCTGCTTTTATGATGGTAAGAGTTCTGAAATTTTGAGATCCAACAATCACTTCAAAACTTGATCTTTTTGATACTGAGATCTGGCATGTTATATTCTAGTATGTAACTAAGCAAATCTAGATTGAGTCCCTCACTAATTTTTAAGGTAGCTATGTAATAAATATAAGAATTAAGTAAAGCACTAGAGAAGGTAGGAATGAAACAAATGAAAAAAATCTCAAACTGTTTATATTTCAAGATAAAGGTAAATTTTAAGTCAGGCTTTTAATGGCATCAAACTCCAAAGAACCTTAACAACAAGAAGCTGCATGCTCTTAAGAACAAAAACCAGCACTAGATTCAGGGAGACTGTTCAAATACTTCTGTAACTTCAAACCCCAGTTTTCAGGGAAAGACAGGTAGTGGCAGGTAAGCATCCATTTTTGATCAATATAGATATAAACATAAATATAAAATGTATATAGTCCCTGTTCCTCGTGTACAAATTACCTTCTTTCCCTGACCCTTTTTGTTTTCCAAAAGAATCACAATCTTTACAAATATTCCATGGTAGCTCAAAGCATTCATCTGGAAACTGGGAATTAACATGAGGCCAAGAAGCCAAGACAATCATGTTCCCTATCTAAAATCATTAGAGAATCTAAGGGAGAAAAAAAAACTTAAAAGAAGAGGGAAATGGAAAGATAAGGAGATATAAAAAATATGTGTTGGGGTAAGATACTGAGTGTACAGAATAAGTCTGACTTAAGAGGATCCTTTGGTTCTTCTTCTGTCAGCCCTTAAGAAACAGCTCAAAAGGAAAAGAGAACTTTATCCTTCCCACTGTCACATATGTTCAACAGTGTAACTCAAAAATGTACCTGACAAATAGTACCTTCTGAAGAGATGCAAAGAGAAAAGAGCTCAGTGGCCAGACAACTTCTTCGTAAATAAAATTATTATAATCCAATGTCTCAGCTGCCTGTCACAAAACTCTCCCACTTCTGTCAGAGGTTCACTTACACAGTTTATCATCTCTGACTAGACCTTTCCACATCAGATGGGAGAAGCAATGACAACACAGCACAGGAAGAAGAGAGGTCATTAATAATTAGCAAGAAACAAGCAGGATGCTGTAGAGGTAAATAAAAATTCCCAAGTTGGAGAAATTATTCAGAGCTGCTCCAATTTTAACTGAAGTATCTGTGGAAGCATGAGACTAATTTAGCCATGTCACAGAATGAAAAACTGTTCTGCTGCTTGTCCACTACTCCCATTAATACTGCAGAGGCTTTTGGAAGTCCCAGAGAATCCTGTTTCTACTTTCAGAAATGCATCCCATACTTACTTCCTTCAGATTACTTATTTCAGTCTCTTGTCTTTTGTTCACTGCAGTCAGTTTCTTATTGTGCTGTATGGCTTCCTGCACTTCAAACAAAAGTGAAAGCATGTTAATAGACTTCTATCAATATTTGATTTATAACTGCAACGTACGCATATATAATTCATAAAATAACTAAACATCTTCGTGGAAAGGAGACTAAAACTGAAAATATGATTCATTGATTTTTTCTGTGTGGTGTGATACAATACTGGAGGATTACATCAGGTGGTACCAGTTGTTCTGTACCTCAAACAATGAGAGAAGACTCTTCTCTATGTTGGTTTGCCTTTTTTGTTTTCAATTGTAATTTAATTTTTAGTGTAACTTGATGACATTTTTTTAGGATCTGTCCATGAACTTTGAATCCTAGTTTTGTTTTTTAACTAAGGCTTTGCTTGTGATTTTCAGAGGAACATAGAACACAATGGGCCATAATGGACAGAACATACAAATAATTGAGTTAACAGATGTACAGAGTTATATGCATGTAGGCCATGGGAGATAGCAAACAGCAGGGGATAATGCAGCAGAAAACTCTAAGAGTAACCTCTGTCTCTTCTGAAAGGGAAGGGAATTTTCTCTCAGACTTTATACAAGTCAAGATATCACTGGGAAATTGCTTGAAATTCCACAATGAAAAACTGAAGATATTCACTGGCCCCTGGACTTTTTCAGTCACCTCTATTCAATCTTAGTATTTTCATCCTCTGAGGTGTCTCTTTAGCATTTTCTGTTTTCTGATTCCTCTTCATTCACTCCCAATCTTTTTTCTTCTGGCACCACACTTGAATACAGGAGCTCTGCACACTCCATCACACCCAGAAAGTCCTTCCCTTTTCTGCTAAAGATGCTCCATCATGGGGGAAGATGGACATCAGCCTTACAACACAAGAAGCAATTTTGCAGTTTTGTGTGAGAATATGTGCTTTAAACATTAAAATACTGAAGAATGTAACAGCTATCTTCTGATACAGCTTAGGAAAAGCCCATACACATACAAGCAAGCAAAAATTGGTAAAACTCTCTCCTATCCTTCAACAAGAGTCATGTGCTCACTCTCTTGCTTTAAAGTACTAATAGTGGGACATTAGTTAGCCAATAAAGTTCTGGATTTATTTCCAATTCTGGTATTTTCCCTCCACAGCACTATAACACATCGATTTCCACTTCCTTGTGTCCCTACATATTGCTTTAATACGGCAGATAAAGAACAAGCAGCTTATAAATTTAAACCATTTGCACAAAATTGTTCCTACCCTTTCCTGCCTGACCTTCCCACTGAGAGCAGTCTCTTGCTCAGAATTTACAGGTCACCTCCATGCCTATTGCACATCTCACACACTGCCATGCAAATTGAATTCTCTGCAGTAAAGACACACTAGAGTCAAACTGGTGAAGATATTGGCTCCTTGAACAGAAGCAGTTAGTAACCCACTTAATCTTTTCTAGAGGTTCACTTTGCAATTATTGATAAATGTAAGTAGAAACACGGCAAAAAAAAAAGGTTTTTTATCATTCAAATGTAATAAGTACTGAGAGTAATTGTTATTTTTCCTAGACATTGCAAAAAGACTTTTGTATTTGATATAACAGTAAACCCCTGTCCAATGTAAATAAAAGCAAAACACAGCAATATTTTATCTTTATATGTTTTTATTATTAAAAATTAACCTCATAAAAAATTGAATACAAAAAATAACTGGAGGTACTGAAATATCACAAATATACACGGAATATGTCACCAGTTTATTCAAACTAGATCTGAAAATAAAATTTTTGGTTTCAGGCAGAAACTAAAAATTTAGTAAGATTCAGTATTTGAAAAGTTTTTTGGTGTTCTGGATGGTTTTTTGTTTGTTTGATTGACTGGGTTTGTTGTTTTTGTTGGTGGTTGGTTTTGTTTTCAGTGATACAACTACTTCTTTTCCTTAATAACACTTACTTTTGTTTATGTCCTGTGTATGTGTTTACATGGATGCAAACTCCAGGCACATGAAACAATACAAAAGTCTATATCCTAAACATACACTGTGATGTTTGCATGGAAATTTATCACTTTGCTATGAGAAACAAGGATCTCTCTTTCAAATTAACACGTACAAAACTTCATTTCACTGAGGTATTTTTATTACCTGGTTATCCGAGTAATTATTTGACAGATAAAAATTAAATATTTATAGAAAATAAAAGTGTGTGGAATAGTATTTTTGCCTGTTGGTAGTTTCACAAATAATTTTGTTATGTTTCAGCACATGAATGGGGATGTGGTACAGATTTATAAAGCTTGAACAGACACATAACAAGAATCTACATAACAATGATAACTGCACAAAATTATTCATAACACCCTATTTATTTATTGAACTGGTTTAAGATTTTATATTTCTGTACAAGAAAATAATTTTTATTATTTCATTAATGGTCTTCATCCATTTTCCAACATTAAATCTACATTTAAAAAGCATTCATTTTCCCCTATTTGCTAATTCCTTTACTTTCACCCCCTCATTTTCACTGGTACAACTGCTTTAAGCTGATTATGCTGAATGGCAACAGGGAGTTGGTTCAAATTAAGCTGCTTTTTTTGAGTGTTTTTTGATTGGGTTTATTCTGGTTTGGTTTTTTTTTTTTTTTGGAAAGGGATGGATCTACTGCTGGATTGTTCTGATCACAAATCAGTTCCTCAGTATAATTTCCTGTGTGGTCCCACACACAACTGTAGTGGTGCATCAGCAAAGAGCAGCACTCGGCCCAGGGCAGCTGCTATTTTTTTGAGTTGTCAGGTGTCTCCAACTCAGTGCTGTCAAAACACAGAAAAATCAAATTCAGGAGGACATTTAAGACATACATACCACTGTGCTCTAGTTTTCCATGGACCCCCTTTATGATTCCAAACTGAGATGCAATAGTAGCGTAACACCTCTCGACTTCGTTCAGCTTCTTATGATGCTCCTCTTTCGCTGTCAAGTGCATCTGTAATTTCTGATCCTGTCAGGGACATAAATGAAGCACACATTTACTGACAGTAAGTAGCTCTCCAAATGCTTTTGAGTGGAACAGCACAAATGCAAAATCATTCCCGGAATATCTCAGTTGTTTATTTCATACCTAGTTATCAGTTCCCATTTTCAGATAGCAGGAAGACCTTCACCTGTGTGTTAGATTACCAAAAATGCACTTTTACATATTTTCATATGTCATCCCTTATATTTAGAAGAACCTTCATGTAAATGCCTGCAGAACTGTACAAACTGCTTTCAAATCCTGATCTCAAGTTTTCCCCACAACCCACTGTCTCAGCAACTTCACAGAGGAGCCCAGGGCACAAACTAGTAAGTGGCTGGAGACAGGTAAGAAAACAAGCTCCTTGAACTTTGGCATCAGTGCCAGTGTACTCATCGTGAAAATAAGGCCTATGGGCATTTACTGTCTCCTCTTACACAACAGAAGCAAGCCATTCTTCAAAGCCACATTTGCAAAGCCGTTAGTAAAAGCACTGTCTTCCTTTTATGCTCTGAAATGCTTTCCAGCATAACATGCTTTTAATCAACAATGACAACTTTTTAGGCTATACTGCAATAAACACTCAAACAGGTTTTTTACCAACAACAGTACTGTTCAAAGTATAGGGTGCTTTGTAATATGGTGCTTGTAAATATGGTAATCAAGGGCTTTGAGCACCTGACACATGAGGAAAGGCTGAGGGAGGGATCTGGTGAATGTGTATGGAGGGGAGGGGGGTAGGTGGGGGTGTGTGTGTGTGTGCAAGGAATGAAGAAATCACAGCCACACTCCTTTCAGTGGTGCTCATTGACACAAAGTGAAAGACAGGAAATTGCACTTAAACTTGAGGGAAAAACATGTATTGTAAGGGTGGTCAAACACTGGAGCAGGTTGCAGAGGCAGCCTCTGCCTGTGGACATATTGACACCCAACTGGACGAGGCTCTGTGCCACCAGCTCCGGCTGACCCTGCTGTGAGCCACCTCCAGAGACACCTGAGAGCCTCACCCATTCCAGTTCTGGGACTGCCAAAAATGACACAGCCCAAGAACAATCAGGAGACAGTTTGTGTACTTGACACACCTAAATAAAAGAATTTCAACACTTTTGCTAAAAATCAGAAGTGCATCAAGCAATTCTATAGTAGTGATGACTTTGATTTAGACTAGTGAAACTAATGCAGATTAATAGCCTATGCTTCCTAGGAAAATATAAGTAACATTTTAATGAGTAATTATTAATTCCTCAGTGTCAATTAGCAGTTCTAGTATCTTGAAATATGATTAATTTGCTTCTACTTTAAGATTATGTATCTGTAGGGAAGTTTCTAACTACTTTCATAAATATCTAACACTTTATTTTTACTTCTATTGACATGTTGGCCTAAGTAATATTTTACCACAATGAAATCCACATGGTAATTCATTAAAACGTATTTACTGACTTTTACCAATCTCTCATTTTGTGAGGAGCAATTGAAAATACATATTCACAGCAAACTATTCAGTGACACATGCCACTGATTTTTTTTAAAGCTATTTGTTATCCTTTCTTTCACATGTACCAAATTTTTTGTGTTCCTCTTCGTATTGTTTTGTTGTTAATAGCTGTGTAGGTACTATTTGGTCAGTTTTAAAATTAATTTTTTTCTGAAGAGAATGGGTTAAATTAATTCCTCAGAAAGGATAACCATTTATTTAGATATCTAATCCATTTCTAATCTACATTAAAGCAACACAGCAATTAAAATGACTTGGGCCAAATTCATCCCTGTGTGTAAATTCAGGTTACACAAGGATGCATCTGGCCCAGTCTGGTTGGGTTATGCAAGGCTCCATTTCCACACAGTAACAAATGCAATACATGTCCAAGCATCAGAGGATAATAAAAGCTGAGAGTAATCAAAAGAAATGACCACCATAAGGCCAGCAAAACAGGATATACAATACAAATTTCTCATGTTTTATAAGGTATGAAATTAAACACACTACAGCAAATGGAAAGTCATCATGGAAGCACTGGTAAAGAAACACCACCACTTACAGAATCACTGCAAGGAATGTAGGTTGAGAATGTTCATATACTTTCTCTTTTCCCTAATCAGAAGTTAACTGTTGAAGAACTGTGCTTAACTAATGCCAGGAGGGGGATTTTATAACAGAAAAATTAAAAGGAAAAATTTTCTTTGTTTTTCCTGATAGTCACTCAGGTGTATTTATTCTGAGAGACTGAGGAACAGGAGGCATCGCTGATTTGAGACTTGTGGCAAGATCTGAGGGGGTTTGCACTTTTTTAATATGGATTTTTTCTTAGTGTTATCCCAATTTATTTCTTAAGTCAGCAAGACAGTGTTAATGCTCCCTCCTCCTCTCTCAAAAAGTAGAAATATGCTTTGCTATTTCACAAGGCTCTTTCCAGGGGGGAAAAAAAAAAAGGAACTGGCCTGCTCTCTCTGCAAGAGTTTTATTAAGACCTCACCACTTGCCTAAATACGATTTTTGATGGCAAGCTGCTCTCTAGGCTTAGTGCACTATAAAATAAAAGCCTGAGTATATGATTCCTCTGCTCACAGTGAAAAGGTCATAAAATATTTTCCATAGAAGACAAGCAAGAAACATCAGGAGACACTGCAGGATAGGGAGGGGATGACCCTGGAGCTGGAGTAAGACCCACAGAATCTTGGTTCCTCTTCCTAATGTCTGATACTGCAAGAACAGGAATTATTGCCCTGCCCTCCACTAGTAATAAAGATAAGCTGGGATGGGGAGTGGAATTGATTGTGGCCATATGGTTTGTTGAGGCACAATGATTTCTTGGTGGAACTAGACCAGAGAAATAGCTCAGGGTCAAGTAGGTGACTGGAGGAACACAAAGAGGGAATTGCTCATATCTCAAAGATATTCTGGAAATTGAGTCACTAGTCAGAGGTACTCAGTGAAGCAGAAGGTGGTAATTGGGAGGTGAAAGTGTCAGAGAAACAAAGGAGATGTAGTGGCACGGAGACCTAAGGCAAGATCATGTGAAAATTATGCAAAGGGTTACCAATTGTAAATCTTCGAAATAGGGATTTTTTTCCACAATAGATCCTTTAGTTCCTACCATTTTTCTACTTTAAAATAATTTATCCTATATCACTGCCTTCTCACTGTGTTTTTAAACAACACAGTATGAATACAGGCAAACTCCTAAAAATGCAGGAAGGAAATAAAAATAACATTCCTATCATAAATTATTAAGAACAAACGAACTTTTAAGGTTTCATATACTTAACACATTCATATATTCATATATTTTATACATTTTGCAGTACTTACTTTACAATTCACGTGGCAACTACATCTGTATTAGAAAACTAAATGGTGGCAGGGAAGCTCTCAGGAAATGCCAGTATTGTTGTTAAAATATCCCTGACACACGTTGGCCTATGCCAGGTAGGACTCATGCAAGGAGGTCCTGGGCAGAGTTGAGGGACTGTCTGCTGGGAACAATGTGGGTTATTTAGATCCAGCTTCCCTCTTTTCTGAAGACTAATAGAGTTTATTCGACCTAGACCATTTCATTGCAGTTTCACAAAGTGGTTTCACACACATTTAGTTTACCAGGACAAATACAGTCAGCAAGTGAAACTGGACTAGTTAGCAGCCTTGCACAGAGGCACTCACCCCATCTACTGTACTCACTGTCCCTCATTGACTACACAGAGATCTTGCACTCCAAATTTGCTCTTCTGAATGGCACAGATTTGGTTTCTAAAGCAGTCAACACCAGCCTCAATCTCATTCTTGGGATTTTTTTACATTTTAGCACTACAACATATACATATATATTTAAGATTTAGGTACTGCAGAAGACAAACAACTCCAAATGCTCACTCTCTCAGACACGCCCAGGATCAGCCAACGTGAGTTCATAAGGGAAGACAAGAACAGATGCTACACATAGAGAGTTCTGGCATTCCACAGTGAATCACCTGCCAGGTAACCAAAACCCGACCACAGCCATTTCTGGGCAGTTATGTCCTTATTTCAGCAGCAATTAAAGAATGCAATGCAGAGCTCACACTCAAGTGTACTCTGTCAAGAGAACTGGCTTTGCAGTAACCACCCCGTAGCCTCCTGACTGCATGAGCACTACTGCCCATATGCAGTGAGGTGCAAAGCCACTACACAGCATGCAATAATCAACACTTCTACTGTGGAAACAACAAAATAAAGATGGATGAAAAAGAAATCTTTTATTTCTTTGTCTCTATGCAGTCTTTCAATATGAAACAAAAGCTTCCACTATCTCAAAATTATAGCATGTATTGTAAAATTTATACCAGCACTAAATTTTCACATAAACTTCAGCGGATAGCATGCTAAAATATGGTGTATATGTGAAGTATTAACATTGCATATATTAGACTAGAAGAGCAGAATTAAAGGAACAAAACCAGAATGAAATGCTCCATCAGTAAGGCATGCTCAGTCCCTGGCATGCACAGAAGCTCCTTCACTGCCTGGTAGGGTTTCTAAAGTGCCAGATATAAACTGAACAGCACATCTGCTTACTCTCAAAACACAAGCCAGGGCATGATCCAATCTGTCTTTAACAAAGTTAAAACTGAATTAGAAATGGACCTCAAATAAACGAATGGTTTGGAGTTTCAACCAATTTTACTTTTAGACACCCTGCCCATTTGCAATGACCAAGAGTCTACGTGGGCACCTACTACTCTGACACCTTGAACATATCATCTTTTTCACTGCAACTACTCAAGGAGTAAAGTTGGTAGAATTTGACCTGGTCTAAAACCTGCATAAGGCTGCAGGGAAGAATTCACTTCTATCTACCTTGTGGGTTTTTTCTTTGCATCATTTCATATCAAGGCATCTTCCCATAAATAAGTCCAAACTGTACATGTTACATTGAATGCTACCTGCAAAACAGGATTTCTAGGATCTTGTGCCCCACTCAATAGTGTTTTTAATTACCATACTCTGTATCAAAGGTACAGTACCCCAATGTTTTCAAAATATTCAAATAATCAATTATGGAAAAGTTTCCAAACGTAAGAAAGGAAGATATTCGTTTAAGCAACACATAGGCATTTCCAGCTTATAGAAAAGGTGTTGTCATTTAAACATTCTCACTCACATGGAAGACTGAGCTTGTAAGTTACGAAAGAAAGATAATATGTGAAATGACCTAAATGTAAGTCCAATAATTTCGTAAATTTTTAACACGTTTTTAGATCAGATGCATTTTAAGAACAAATACAAGTTAAAAGTGAAGTAAGACAAACCACATTTTATGTTGCCTTTGATCTTTAACTTGTAGCCTTATCTCCCAGGTCAGAGGGCACATTATTCAATTTCACCATATTTTGTGTAAAACCACTGTAGCGTTGAAGATGACTTTCAGTACAAATGTCATGGTACTTAAAGCTAAACTGGACTCTAGTTTTTTGAGCTTCTTAATTAAAATCACAGTTTGTAATGGTCTGACAATATTATCTTTATCCTTTCCAGTTGAGCAGCAGCAGAATTTTCACAGCATTTATTCAATCAAGCCTAGCAGTGTTTCTGCAGCTCACTCTTTCGCTTCCTAAAACAGACAACAGGGTTCAGAGCAACTATGCTGTCACTCTGTATAAATTTATTCTCTGTGTCAAAGGGAGGGAGCTGGGCTGGTGAAATCTAAACTGTTCAGGGGAACTGATGTCAAGAAGTAATTCTGAGAAAAGGAGTAAAAAAAGAGTGAGAGGAAAACCAGCATTTTTTCTTAAAAACAAAACCAAAAACTTCTTGGAATTACCTATTACTTTTTGAGACGAATATGCTAGATCTTATCAGAAATATAATTATATTATTCAAATCACAGTTTATAAAAAATCTTTAATCTATAAAGAGAACAAATGTACCTATTCTACTTTAATTCAATGAGAAAAAATGCCACATGCTAAACAGTAGCTATCACACTATAAAAACCCAAAAACATTGCATTTGTAAGTTTTTCACATTCGAAGTTGAGGCACTTCCTTGCATTATTTGTAATAATTATCACACATCATTTAAGTATTAAAGTTGGTTAGCACTGATTTATGCTCTAAGCAGACATTCTTTACATAAAAATTCTTCCTTATTTTCTTACTTTTATTAATTTCTTACCATTTCATTTAGTTTCTTTTGTAAAGTGTATTTTGAAATCTGTAAAACAAGAGAGTTATTCAATGAATTGTACTCACATTTTTTCTGACAACAACCTGCATATTTAGGCATTGTTATACCTAACATTCAATTGCACTTGTTGCCAATCCATCCAACACAGTAGTACTAGTTTTGAATTAATGATGACACTATTATTAGATTCATTTTACATAATTTCACTTCAATATTTAAATTACGTAAAACCACTTTACACCGATTTGTTACTAGAGGAGTTTTGAAAAAAATGCATAAAACCTTGTGTTTTCTGACAGGTATAAAAATAAAGTGTAAATGGACTCTTAGAAAGAAGAAAACAGAGATAGTAATTAAAGTATTCCCTCAACTCCTACAGGAATATATGTCTGTTCCCTGTTGGAAAAAAAAAGCCCAAAACCATCTAGTTAGATATTCTGAATGGTAGCCTATAAAGAGATATTGTATCAATCTCACATGCTTTAATAATATTCAGCTGACATTAGAAGCCATTAACACTATTTTAATACACCATTGACAGAGTATTTTGATTTGAACCACACTGAAGAGTAAAAGGAAAAAAAAAAAGTCACTTCAAAGAACCCAGTGTGTGCAAATCTTATACAGAAAACATTATTTCCAGGAAAAACCAAGAGAACCATCATTTTAAGGTAGAATTCTGACTCTCTGGATAGAGAGGAATACAGAATCAAATTTAAAATTCCTTCAAACAGTTTTCCTGGGATCACATGTTCATTGTGACCTCCTGCTTCCTCAAGCCACAGCAGAATTTCCTAGATATGAACTAAAATGTAACACAAATGTTTGATCTGTGAACACTAAACATTTCAGTTAAGCTTCTTTTAAATTTCTGTTTTATCCCACAAGAGAAAGGCCAGTGGAATCTTTTATTCCTCCTTCTGTCCACATATTACGTTCAGCAGACCATGGAGGGATATTCTACATCATCTGTGCTATGCCAAGGTTTGAACAAGGCAACAAAATCCTTACAGACACTGCACAGGCCAACCATGGGAATTAATTTTTGCTCCCAAGATACATTCAGTGCTAACTACATGGTTAAATAAACGATCTGATACCATGTAAATGCATCCCATCACAAGAGAATGTTGATAAGAACCAAAGCAAGTTGCAAAATCATGGTAATAATCCATTATAACTAATTTGTTTTCAATAGAATTAATTATTATCCCACTCAGTTTTGAGCAGAAAAATAATTAGTTCCCGGTAATACCTGAAATCTGACAATGAATTACAACGCTTATAATCAATTTTCAACATATCTGCTTTGGTCTTAAACCATGGATTAAGTGGTAAATACAGACACCTCCCAGTGAAACAAAGGAAAATACCCAAAACCACAGGTAGCACTGCAAGTTGGAGGCCCAGAGCGAAAGCTTATTTCTGTTTAGGAGTCCAAACCCAGAGATTCCAGACAGGTGAGAAGTAAGATGACAAGAACAGAAAGAAACAGGAAGACTGTGGAAGTGAAAAGAAAGCCCACTTCACACACTATCTGAACCTCTGGACCTGCAGTTCTTCTGGAGGAAGAGACATTAGTTGGAAGGGGCTACCTTAGAGTAGTCTTGGCACTGAAGATTAGAACAGAAACTCAGTGTTAGTCAGGTGTCACATGTCTACATGTTCTAGAAAGATTAGATGAGAAGGCCTTAAAGACCCTCTTCAAAACAACTAGCTTCTTACTAGCAATAAACTAAACCCAAAACACTTGCAATACCAAAAAAAAAAGTCATTTAACAAAAATAATAGCTTACCTGTAATGCCTTTAATGTTTCTTTCAGTCCATCAATTTCTTTTTCTTTTGTTTCTACAGCAAGTTGGTATTTTCCCTTTCAACAAAACCCTACTTCAGGATTTGGGTGGGATAAATGCATTGACATTAAGAATTCATCAAAAAGAATGTTACAAAAATGAATTTGGACTCTGCTATGACAGAACAAGTCATTGGTGATAAATTCAGCTAAATAATCTTAAACTGTAGAAATATATTGGTATACAAAGAAAAGTGAAAACACAATAGCATATTTTCACCACTTATGACCATACCCAGCAAGTCTTAAAATTTTCTATTCTTGGAGAGACAAGCCTGACAAAGGCAGAATTAATAAGTTATTTTAATTTAGAAAAAAAGACATTAAATATAAAAAAAAAAAAGTTTCAGGTAAATCCATTTTCTTATCTGCTGTAGCAACTCCCTCAGTTTTTCCAGACCACAAAGACTGAACTGTAAGCTGCTATCAACAGAATTACTAAGTACAGTTTGTATTTTTCTAGATATAAATATAAAAATACATGTGTGTTCATATACACACACACACATATGTATAAAATGAGCACGTGAACAAAGTCAAAGGACTTCAGTAGAATGAAATCAGATAAGAATCTTAGGCAGCAACCAGTGGAGAGCAGAATCAAATATGAGAGAATACACCAGGGAACACAAATGCATCCATTCAACCACCCCTGCATGTTCCAGACATTTCTAACACAGTGCTGGCTGGGCAATCTCCTGAAACCATCCTGATGATTAATAGTACACCTAATCTCAACTGGAGCAAACATTGGTCTTTCAACTCTGCCTTGAAACATGAAAGCTTCATTTATTCTTTCAGTTACTTTGGTATAAAAGTACTGAAAGTACTATTCAATTCAATGGAAGTATTTAGAAGGAAAAATTAATCAGCATACAATTTAATTCTGAAACAGTAGCTGCCACTGAAAACACAAATCAGAGACTAATAAGTGGGTATGTGTGGGCAAACAGAAAGTCTTGGCAAGGAGAAACTTCAAATACAACCAAGAAAATAACCAGAAAATATAAATGCAGCAAACAAAGTTTACTTTGATGCACTTTCCAACCATTTGACCAGTTTGAAAATTTCTATGCAAGTTGCTATGGAATGTGCAGATACTCATCTGCTGCTAACTACTGGGAAATTTGAGTGAAACAATAGAATCCACACACATACATTCATTGATTTCACTCTTTGAAACAGGTTCCTGGTACACTAAATGCAAATCCTTCATTCAGAGGAGGAAACAGGCACTCAACTTGGTATAAAAACTCACGTGGTTAAGAAAAATCACATAAATTCAGGGTAAAGTATATCTTGCTTCAGTTTAGTTCAAGTTTCTTATGAAACTGGTTCAGCTAAATCAAGAAAAGCCCTATTAAAATCTGGTTTCCCTAAACCAGTTAGAAATGTTATTTTTCACTAGTACTTGGAAAGGCCAAAGACAGTTTGCCCAAAACCCAACCCCTAATAAAGTAAATTTTGTATAGCTTCAATACAGAAATATCAAAGAACACTCTTTCCCCCACTGATTTTTAGCATAAACCAATTTTAAAGTGACAATTCATGAGTAAGTTCCATAGGCTACAAACAAACAAAAAAAAAAAAACCAGAAGTAAATTCCTTTTGCAAAGGCCATAGCAGGAAAAATAACTTAATAGCAATTTACTTAGTTTATACTTGTTTGGTAAGTTATATGGCATTATCATTTGTTTATGCACATGATGGATGACAATAACAAATAGTTACAGAGTACCTTCTCTTCTTCCATGGCAAACATCCTTGCCTGTAGCTTGATTATCAGTGGCACGGGGAAAAAAAAAAACAAGAAACAAACAAACAAAGTCAATACAACACATGACATCAATTTTATTCATGCAACTTGACAAGACAATATAGTTATATTACCCTGCATAGTGTAATTACTGATTTTTTTTAAACTACAGTCACAAACAGAGATCTGTGAATCTCAAATTATTTTTTCAAGACAAAAAATTAATTGCTTGCCAATTTCTTTTTTTGTGTGACAGGATTGAGATGCAGCATTGGTGACAAATTCTTCATCACCACGTGCAACAGTTTCAGTTCCTATGACTGTTCTCTGCAAGGTCTTTCAGCATTTAATATTTACTCATCATATATTATGGAGAGTAAAATGCAAGATTGACACATGTTGGCCAGAGTAAGTTCTGTGGCAGATCTTTTACTGTGGCTTATGAATCTACCCTTGCAGAGGTCATGCCATCTTAAAGGGGAAAACAAAAAAAAAACCAAAACAGAATAAGAAAAATATTAAAAGAAGCATTTTCTTCTTTAGGAGTTTTTCAAGAAAAGAAGAAAAATCCCAGGAGGAGTGGCTTATTGGGAAGATCTGTCAAAATACAAGCATTATAATGTGTCCAGAAAAAAGAAAAGAACATGATTTCTCTGAGCTGTATATTCTAACATTTTCTATGCAACAGAAAAATATTTTCACACCAACTGGTAACTTGCTATGTTGCCATCATATTAGAAAAATCTCACAGTCAAACCTAGAAGGTCTTATTTTGCTACCTGTTTTTTAAAAGCTGCCATAGCTTCTTTGTTCTGTTGCTGCAATGTGTCCGTCTGATGCTGCAGAGTCTCCTGCTCATGAGAAATAACAACAGTGTTATTTAAATATTATCTTAGAGCAAAGCATATATGTAATATTTCCAGAAAAAAAACTGATTCCTGGCTAAGAAAGACATGACTGATCAAAAAACCCTGAAGACTAAAAAGAGGCATTTATTAACTGATAGTCATCTCTTTGGTAGCAGTTTCTCTTTTAATTCTTAAGAGGTAACAATTCTCACCTCTGGAATACAGACCTGTTGCTAAGACTTCTGTAAGCAACTCCTTACCCATCCCACCAACCTGCAGATGTAATCCACAACCACTGCCATCTTAACACAGCATCTGGACACTGTTCCAGGTACTTATAATAGAATTTTAATACCCATTTAAAAGTATAATCCCATTTAAAATAACAGTCTGGTATTCTGCTTTTAGTTAAACTTTAGTCACTTATCAAGCTACAAGAAAGAGCTGAGGGAGGGCAGAAAAGACTAAGTGTAAGGCCATAGTATAAAATTTTTATCATCCTCCTGCCTGGCTTTACTCTTACCTATCAAAACAAGAAAATGAGTTAGGATGTACTTTTTTTTGTTATTATTTCATGTCATGATCTTATAGATTAATACTACACTCTGCAAGTTAGAAATCTCAAACATCTTTAAGCATCATGCTTCTGTTCAAGATACTTCACCTTTACCAAGGAAGGTAAATATGGAAGATCAGGTTTTCTAAGTCCTAGACACTAAAATATATTAGGTAAAGGTAGTCAAAAGGCTCTGTCCTTGAATAACTATCTCAAAATATAGATGAGCTTAGGTAAGATGTATTAGTGTGAAATAGGAAACAAATCAGAAATGGCTGCACAAAACCAAATATAAATCGAGACTATTAAAAAGAATGAATGGGAGAAAATAAATTGAACATTTGTTTCACACACAAGAAGTCTAATTTCTTCTTCTGCCTTAATTGAGAAAGTGAGAGCTTTTTAAACATGAAGCCCATTCCAAAATTGCTTTCCTGCAGCAAATTGGTGTTGCTTTCATATTCTACAAGTGAGAGCTGTTGCCCTTTGATACAAGAGTAGAATCCATGGTGGTTTACAGTCATGTACTTACTCATTAACTCATTGTAACATAAGTAGGGAAAGTTTTGATCTGCATCTAACAAACAACACATACTACGTAAATGAATATTCCAAAACATGAAAACAGAAGTCTTGAGAAAGGTTTTCCTCAGGTTGGCCCTTAGACTGTGTTCAGAGATGGGTTCTCCAGTGGGTAACAGGCAAGCCAAGGACAGTAAGAGAGCCAGAAGCAGGGGCAGCAAATTGACTGCTCTCAGTGGACTTTTCCTACTCACCACAGGAATAAAATTTTATATCCACTGTATTGTCAAATTAAGATCACACTACTTTAAATAATAGGAATTCAAGTTGACATTATATAGTAATTTATGGAGATATAGGTTTGGCTTCATAAAACAGTCATCCTTTATACAATTCTGTCACAGATGTAATGAAAAAAAAAAGCATTACTGAAGTCTTCATAACATACCACTTACTTGTACTGTATGTTCAAGTGATGCATTTTACTCTTAAAAAGAGACAGGGGAGCATCTACAAATATTCCTTTCCTAAAAAGCCTCACAGGTAAGACTATCAAAGACAATGATTACATATAACTCTCACAGAAATTCAGTTTTGGAATATATTTTCCACATATGGCATGTATGCGTGGTGCAGGGAGACTGAAGAACAAAGTTATTTTTTAAAAATAAGGTAAAATCAGCTTTGATATAGTGATGTTATAGCAAGTACAGTGAGTATGCTCATTATATGTAAAGCAGTATTTTCTCCAGTTATTCTGTTTTCCCTACTGTAGCACATTTTTCTCAAGAGCAGCAACAGTATTCATAAAATGTAGACAAATACTTGCTTTAAAATTGTAATATTAAACCAGAAACTTAGCTGAAGTCATGTCTTTATTTTAAACAAGTTTGTTAAATTTAAGGTAAAATAAAATGAATGACAGAAATGTTGACTGAAGGGGAAATCTCTGAAGGAAAAAACATAATGGAATCTTTGGTAAGCCAGGGGAAGCTGCCTATGCACTGAACTACTACTGAGGTCAATGTGAGCCTGCATTCAGAAACCATCAGGACACTAATTCAATTTAAATGCCAGACTTAGAATTTTCATCTTACTGGAATCTCCAGGAAAGTTGTATGAACTTGTTCTTTGAAGTTCCAGAACATGTGCTCACATGAAGTTCCCCAAATCTACACCTTGTTGTTTTACATTACCTTTGCCATGTGCCAACGTGCAGGAAAAAAAAAAGAGTTTACCTAATTACCTGTAAGTCCCACCTTTTTATTAATGGTAAATTGCTGTTTAAGGTCTCAGAATGGGTGGAAATCACCTCTTTTCAACCCAGATTATTAAGAACTGCAGTGCTAGGTAAGAAAAGCAAAGAAGGGTTACAAACTGAAAGCACTGCTGCTTTTACAAATATAAAATGTTTCCTGTTTCTCTGTGCACATATATATCTTTCAGGAAAGAAAAGCACATAGTTAGGATTATTAATTTAAGATTGTTAGGATGAACTCCAAGATGAAATAGTCTTCCTTTACTACTACTATGTTAAAAATCCCAAGATCAAGGATAGAGCTGAAATTATTGTTTTTTCTGTGATCATAAAATATACAGAGTGAAGCCTTTTATCCTGTGACCCACTGACAGGGGTCATAAGTTTGATTGTATTAGAGAAGGGAATGGATTTCCTATGAAAGCATAACCTCAGGAGCCCTAACTCCAAGAAGAATGTTAGACTTCTGTTACCGAAAACTTCATTTTGAATGTTTAAAAGCTGACAAACTGCTTTTGAGTATGTCTAACATACAAGTTCTTGTTTAAAAGAATTCTTTTTGGAAAAATTGTCACTTCCAGAACATTGCAAGGGAAGTTGTTTGTTGTATTTGCACTTGCCAAAGTCAAGCATAATACAGAGAAGCTGCTGCACAGCTTCCCCCACACTAATACGTCAACATGCCTCATGTTAAGCTAAATATCTTATTGTTTCAATACTTCCCTCCTTCTGGACTGGAGATTTCCAGTCATGCCAAATATTTTGATAGCTTTTTGTTAAACACAGTTCCAGGCCAGGCACAATCCAAATCAATATAAAAGCTACACATGTTCATGGCTAAACAATAAACTCCTGGTTAGCACATTCTACTACTAGAAATAACAACAGCCCTCAAAAGAGGAATGGTAGCAAATCACAATTTATGTTAATATATTAAAATTAAATCTCTGCAGGTCAAACGCTAAGAGCATGTAGGAAAGTTACCTTCTGCCATTCAAGTTCCTGTTTCTCTACAACAATTTTATTTATTTGATCTTCATAATTAGTCTCTGTTTCCTGGTTAAAAAAAAAAAAAAAGAAACAAATATAAGACAGTACCTGCAAATCAAACACCAACATAAGTCAGGTATTCATATTTCTTCTTCCTTTACAGTCCAGTACACACAATAGCATGTATCTGCACACCACACAGATAAAAAGGAAACAGAAGCTCTCTGGATATGGCAAAATAGCAGATGAGTTCAGCTGGTTTGGTCAGAAAATTTGCAGAATAAATAACATCGATTGAAATGCATAGCAGAAGATTAGGAGCTGGGATTACAGCTCTTAATTAGCAGGAATACTTCCCTCTTCACACATATTATCTTCTGCATCTTACAACAAAACCAGACTCAAAGGGAATAAACCAGACTTGACTTCACCATTGAAAAATGATTCTGATGAAGAGAGTCAAAACAAGGAGATGAAGAGAAATTCAGCAAGCTGCAAAATGCTTTATGGATCCACTGTAGTCAATGATACAGATAATCGTGGTTAATGACTCAGAATCTTTAGGACTTCTTAAATATTCCACTCACAGCATTTGAACCTTTATGCTTTTTAACATCTCCTAGGGACAAGTGAAAAGTTTGTGTCAGCAACTACTTCTGTTATTATGGAAAAAGCTAAATATTCATCATAACCTTTGTGCCGAGAAGCCTCCAGACCTATCAAATAAAAGAAGTTAAACAGAATCATGAATAATAAACACATTTTTGATAAAATGAGCTATCAGAAAATCTGAGAAGACCATAACTGAAGTTTCCTTCACAATCCAGAAGAGGTACTAGCAACA